GGCCTAGATCCTGGCTCTCTCAACTTCTTAGTCTGGCACTTTGACCAGTATGCCACACTGGCTCTCCAAAATATTGCCCATTTAGTAACTACAGTGTGTTATAAAAGGAACTGTCCTTAAAGACAGTACAGAAACATTAATTGATTTAGAATATGGCTTCAAATGTTAGGGCTAGCTTGCAGATCCTAAAAATCCAGACTTTAAAAAAAAAAAACCCTAACTAGGGTTTTATGAACATGGCAGCATGCCAGTATTTCCAGCTGTGATAATATCCAGAGAATTCTGTGCAAATTCTGTGTGCTTAAATGCCAAAGGTTTACAGTTAGATTTAGGATGCTGCTTTTTCATGCTAGAAATAGAAGATTTTATAAATGCAAGAAGCATTAAAACATATAAAACGACTTGGGCCTGTGATTATGACATAGCAAATGTTTCTTAATGATGTTTGAAGTAGTCTAGACATCTGTGCTAAACAAATCAAGGCTTTGTTTTGTGTTTTCCTTTGCTCCAAGGTCAATTCCTTGATTTTTCAGAGAATATCTGCTTGGTGGGGTTATATGCCACCATCCCTGATGTTGTTGAACGATAATGGCTTACAATAGTGATTGATGGGTTAAGGCAGCCTTCCCCACCTTCAGAATTCAACCTGGGACTTCCTGCATGCAGAGCAGAATCCCTGCCAACTCCAGTTATCACAACCATCTCTGCTTGAAAAACTTGAAATTGGTTGCCAAGCAGTATGGGCTGGCCTTCCCCAACCTGAAGCCCTGCAGATGTTTTAGATTACAACTTCCAGAATTCAAAACCATTGGCTATGGTTGTTTTAAGTTGAAGCTTACAACTTCTGGAAGGCACCATGTTTGGAACAGTTGGTATAGAAAGTACTGAGCTGGATGAAGCAGTGGTTTGACTTGGTATAAAGCAGCTCCCTATGTTCCTATTGAAAGGCCTCCCAAAGGGATACATGTTACTTGCCTCCATTGTAGAAATGTGGCCAGTAAGGACCAACCTGCCCAAGTATCAGGATGATCATGTTTTCCTTCTACATGGACAGTCATTGACAAGCATTGTATGTTTGTTCATAGCAGTGAATGCCATTTACTCACCCATATGGGAGAAAATAAATGGGTGCTTTTGGGACCTAACTGGAATATAGACTAAACTTGCTCCCCAACAAAACCACTGCCAGATAGTTTAAACCAGGAATGGGAAACCTTTTTCAACCCACAAACTGAATGAAGTTTTGGAGGCACTCTCAGTAATTGCATTTCAGAGGTGGCTGGGCAGGAAGACCAAAGGGGCAGAACTAAAAATACCAGGACTACTAGCATATTGTGGTTTAAAGTTCTTGTTAAGCCCTAGGGGAGACAGTTTAGCCTTTTAGAATGGGGGAAATTGTGCAAAAGCTGGGAAGCTACTAAGGAATTGGTAGTCGAGGAAAGGCACCATGCCTTTCTGAGAAAACACAAAATTCTGGCCTCAGATTCTCTGTCCCTGGCATAGACTGAGCTCGATGGGCTCCTGTTTGGACTGCTAACTGGGCATAAAAACTTGTTGTATGTTCCTCCTTGTGCTCGCTTTACTCCAAGCATAATTTTATGAACCTCTATTATATTCAGCATTTTGAAGCAGTGTCCCTGATTTATCACTCTCAGCCATGAGAATGAGTTGAAGTATCTTGAAAAAATTACTAAAGCAACTTAGCAAAAAGATAATAGACAGAGGAGAGGAGAATTGCTTGATTTCTCTGGGAATAATTACGGCCTCAAGAAAGTCTCTCTTTTGCACTAAATTGAATAAATGCAATTAGTTAAAAATTAATATAGTCCTCCTATTTTACAATAATGGTAGTGTTTATTAAAAACAAGAACCTGACACTCTGTACTTAATTACAGAGACTGTTGTGCTTTATTTACCCCTTAAAAACAAAAACAAAAAGCAGCCTCTTATTTTGGTTTTCATAATGGTTCTCTTGAGTTGATGAGCAATATCTTCCCCAAAAATTAATAAGTGGAGAAGATATTAAAAACCGTTTCTTTTTTGCTCTGTCCATCAGCACAATCCCATTTTTAGTGCTGTAACTTTTTTAATCAAAAGTTCTCCAAGTGAGCCTTCCTTCAGCAAGAAAATACCTTTTTGAGTTTGTGTGTTGTTAAGATGTTCTTGCTGCTTATGATGGGAGGCATTTCAGAACCAGGCTGGGAATTGTTTGAGGCACTCCCCTACCCCAAAAGAAACTTAAAGATAGAAGCTTTCCATTTGGGCCTGATGGACACTCATTTGGATTGTTGGGTCATATTGCAGAAAGGAGTAGTGGAGAGATTTTGGCAACTCATCCAAGGCTGGCTGAGGCCCAGTGCACTTACATTGCAGCCCCCTTGATCCCTCTGTGCCTGCTTGTGGATAGAAGAGTACAGTGAGGATGCAAGGGCAGGCTGAGAAGTTGGGAAGGTAGACTTGAGATCTATAGCTAGCAGTATGTGGCCTTATCTCTTCTTAGAGGGTGTTAATCCTTCCCATCCTGATTTCACTTTTAAACACACTAATACTCCTCTGAATGTATGTGCCCCTATGGGACTTTTTAAAAAATCCCCATTGGGATTAAAATGTGGGAAATATTCTTTGCCTTGGAGATTGCAAGGCCTTTTCCCAGTAGCCATCCATATCATTGCAGGTGGAAGAGGCACCCAGAGGAAGGCATTTGAGGATGACCAGTGTGAAGAGACAGATTTGTCTTGCTGTGGGCATTTTGGTCCAAAGTTGTAAAGGACCTTAAGGGTGAGCATTAGCCCTCTGAATTGTGCTTAGAACTTACTGGCAGCTCCAGCCTGGTTTAAGAGATGATTTCTACTTAACTATCTCCAGTTAGCAACCGTACTTCAAATTAGCTGCAGTTTCCAGATATTCTAATTTGGTTAATTTGGAAAGCACTAGAACCTAAAAGCTGATGACCAGGCTATCCTTACTCCAGGATGACACCTTAGCTTTCACGGATGGAGGGTACTCCGTACCACTAAGACCACTGGGCATCTGTGGACAAAACTGGTGAATGTGAGCCTTTAGGAGGTGTGGAACTCCATTCATAAATTTGAATACCAATTGACTCGATCCATTCTCGATCCAAGATACTGATTTAGCACATCTGATAGTTTAGAGCATGGGTCCTCAAACTATGGTCCAAGGGCCGGATACAGCCCGCCATGCGAGGCTTCGGCAAGGGGCAGCATAGAAATGTTTTAATAAATAAATAAATAATAACAATTTATCTGGCCTGCCATGTCCATTTGGACCCGCCGCAGGCGCGCCCGCCACCACCCACCTTGCCCCATGCACGGGGAGGCAGCGGTTTGCTCGCTCAGGGAAAACAACCTCCAGGCGAGCAAGCCGCTGCCTCGTCTTGCCTCGCTTCCCTGCCTTGCCTCGCTTCCCCTTGCTGCGTGTGCACCTGCCTGCGCTGCACCCCGCCACGCCTCAGTGCAAGCGCCTGCACGCACCACCCCTACCCCCTCGTTGGCCCGTGCGCACCACCAGCACCACCTTTCTGGCCCATGCCCAGCACTGGCACCTTTCAACTGGCCCCCTGGTGAAAAAGTTTGAGAATCCCTGGTTTAGAGCCATATCTATGCCTCAGTTTCCAATCAGAAAAAAATAGAGTTGAGTTCTTCCTCAGTGGGCAGAATGAGGTTCCTGCTGCTTAGCATCCTTCCACTGTACCCCATGGACCATCTGATAAGGCAAACAGTGGCTCCCTGTCCTTGGTTCTGGAATTAGGCATGCCCGGGTTTGCTGTGTTCATATGTGTCTGCATCATCATACCGAAGGGAGAGCTGTTTTCAGGCTGGCAACAGCTAGAATGCAGCTGGGTTCAGATAACAAATTGCCCTCACTGGCTGAGTATGCATTGAGTCTGGGTAGCTGTTGAACGATGGGTTGTTGTTGAAAGATGGGTTATCACATTGTTTGAACCTTGCTGAGATAACAAACCCTGGGAAACAATCCGCAGTTCAAATTCCGACGTAGATTTTCTTCAAGGGTTATTCGTGGTAACAAGCTATGACCTGGGACTGTCAGTTCAAAGTGCCGTTTTCAGGCTCTCTCCAAATACATAAATGACAATGGGGTTGCAGTTGGAGCAGGAAGAGAGGACAAGATGAATTCTGCCACATAGGACCCTGGGATATCAACCAGTACTGGGGGGTGGCCGGGAGTAAACAATCTGTGGGAAGCCCAACCATCTGTTGGAAACACTTTAGATTGTACCATGAAAAACGAACACTTGCATAGCCTATTTGTAGGATGGGTTGCTGTGCCATGTAGTCTTGCTTTTAGAGATATCACCAATTTGTGGAATATGTACTCTGCTTATTCAGAGCTATACAATGTAATGGGTTACTGGCTGTCTCAGTAGTAGTATTTAGAGCAAGGGAAAAATGGCAGAAGAAAACTTTAACTTATTTTTGGAACTTCCATGCTGGTTTTCACAAAACAACTTAAATAAAAATGTATGTTTAAAATAACATCAATATATAAATCTATAACAACTAAAAGGGACTGCAAAAATCACGGTAGGGTTAATTTAAAAAGCAACAGTTCTCACATCACCCAGAAGTGGATGGAAGTAAAAGAGTATTTAAAGCTCATCTGAAAGAAAAAGGGATGAAAGCCAAATGCACCTCTTCAGGGTGCAAGTTTCAGAGTTATGGAGCCTCCACAGAAAATGGCCTGTCTCCTGTGCCTGCAAATTTGTTTGAACCAACTGGAAGCTCTTCATGAGCAAGGCATGTCTGACTGAACTCAATAGGACCAGTGGGATGGTTTAACCTGGAGTCTTGCACTAAGCAGGGGGTTGGACCCGATGGCCCTCTGGCCCCTTCCAACTCTTTTATTCCATGATTCTATGCTTTGTTAAAAAAATCTTGTTAGAGGCAGCTCTATTCAAAGGAAACTGAGAAAAGTATGCAGATCAGTAACATTTACATCTTTTCCCTTTTCCTTCCCAGGTGCCCTGAACATGCCAAGGATATTGCCTTGTTTGAAGTCTTAACACTTCCTCCTTTTCATGAAGAGATTGAACAACCACAGCCTGACAGTGGAACAACCATCCAGAAAGAATTCAGTTCTGTAGTGCAAGAGGACCAGCTGAATGAATAAACATAACTTCAGAACATTCGGTTATTGTGTGCTTCAGACATCTCAGGGATTAGTGTTCTTGTGTGTATGTATGTTTGTTTGTTTAATTTTTAATGGTTGTTGATGAACTAAACAGTGCTGAAAATGGGAGATCAACAAATGTACAAAATGAACCACATCATTAACAACAACGACAACTTGTATTACCAGCAGCAGCAACACCTGAATTCGCTTACCCCTTTAAACCACACCTTTGGAACGTCACCCATGGATGCATCCCAGGAGTCTCCCCTCACCCCCTCATTCCCTCATGATACTACAGAAAACATACCTTTGAATGCTGGAGCCAAAACTCTTGGGGTGATGGATTGTCCTAGGCAGACAGGCTGGGCTCATTTGAGTTCTGGCAACCACATGCCAGTGAGGAACAACCAGAATGTCATGTGGAGCACAGCAGGGCAAGGAGAAGCATCTGATGGATATGACCCTCTCTGTTCCCAAGCCAATGACATCAGGACACAGAAACTGACCAGTGGGGTGTTGCATAAATTAGACTCTTTTGCTCAAGTCTTTGCTAACCAGAACTTAAGAATTCAAGTCAACAACGTGTCTCAGATTGTTCCATCTCAGCCTTCTGCAGTGGAAAACACTGGTGACAGTGCACTTCGTCAGTTGCTGTCCCAGAAGTCAGCTGTTGAGCAACAGCCTCTACAGAGATACCAGCAGGTGCCACCACAGGTCCATCAGGAGTTTGCAAGTGCACAGCAGCCGAAGCCGCAAATGCACTTGATGCAGCACCAACAGCCTCTGTATTACGACAACCAGCAGCATTTAGCCCATTTACACATGCACCCTGTGATGCACCAAGGGCAGGCTCATTTGCAGCAAATGCATTCTCAGCACTTGCTGCCGCAGCAGCTACAGCAGGATCAGTTCTATCTGCAGCAGCCGTCCCCCCACCAGGGACAGCACAGACTGTTGGTGCATGAGATGCAGCAGCAGCAGCAGCGAACATGTCCAGTGCAAACATCTCAGTATTATCCAATACAGCCTATGATGCAAGACTTGCAGCAGCAGCAGCAAATACAGATGCAACTTCCTCCCTATCACAGAGAACCTGATCAGAAGTCTCTGCATGAGGCACACCAGTACTCCCAAGATAGGGGCCATTCTGTGCAGCTGATACAGTTGGGAGCAGTTCCTCAGTACTTCTTTCAAGATCAACAGCAGTCATTTAGACATCTCTATTCACCCGGTCTTTTGCATCAGCAGCCACCGCCTGGAGATGCCACTCAGCCAGACCATTATCAGAGTGACAACAAGGCCCGGGCATTGCTGGATTCGCATCTTGGACTTTCCAATGCAGAGGGGACTGAAGGCTCAGCGCAGCAGGACATGAATTCTGCTGGGAGCAGTGTCCCTCATCAACCACTTATATCTTCAGCAAGTATCCACATGAATAACAAAGGACCTCAGCAATTATCTCCCAGTGCAGTATGGCCTCAGGTAGGTAATACCTTCTTTGTGGCTTACTTTTGGAAAGCTGAGGAAGTGATACTGAAATCAAACTAGCTTTCTCCACTGAAGTGGTGTTCTTTCAGGCTGACAAAAGGAATGGATGACTCCACTGGTGCAATGGTCTTCTGAATCAGCATTTGTAAGGTCTGAACATTTACTACTGACCCAACAGCCTCTGGATATTGGATATAGACAATGGGCTGTATGAAGTATTTGTCCTACTTAGGCCCAGTGAAATGAGCAGGACTTCTGTTAGGCTAAGGTAGGATACAACCCAGTGGATATTAAACTACAATGATGAATAGCCTGTATATGGGTGGAAGACCTATATATTGTAGGAAGCCCATGAGGAAGATGATGTGTTCTGCATTTAGACTATGCAGATGATGTGTTCTCCCATAGACTATTGCCAGCATAGAATCTTTATCAGTGCAGGCCACACCATCTGCTAGGGGAGGGGATAGTATTTTGCTCCCACTGAAAAGCAGTCTCAAGATTGGACCTGGTTTGTTCAGGGGCTCAGCAGGTTTTGCTTTTTCTCAGTTTATTCCAGATTGCAGCTTATATAGACCTGATCAGCACAGGCAGCAAAATGGGCTAAAGTAGTTCAAACCTGAGATGGTTAGTTTTTTCAGTATTGTCCAGTGTCAAAACGAATCTGAAGGTAGAAACCAGCCTTTCTACCTTGCCTTCTAGTTACTGATGGATCATTTTTCGCTTAGGATTTCACTGAAAAATGGCACCATTGTCTACCCTCACATTGTATCACAATGTGCATGCTTTTATTTCTCCCATAGACTTTGACCAATGAAACCTGCAACACAACATGGGAGTGTGAAGTGTTGCTGTACCTGTCCTGCTCTAGAATGCGTCATTCCTCCTTCCATCTATCTTATGTCTTCCATAACCACTAGGAATGCTCAACAGTTATTCTGTAGGTTACCATTGTTAGATCCCCCCCCCCCGCCAGTTTATGCTCCCTATGGTGGAGCTAGGCAGGAATAAGCCCAAAATGTTTCATTCCAAACCCCTTCATTATCTCTGGCAGCTCCAGGATCACCACCCTCATGTCAGCCTGGAGCTGGTTTAATAAATTTCTTCTCTGCCCTTGGAAGCAATGAAGGGGAAGAAGGAAATAAAAAATGCAGCATGAAACAGACTGTGCCTCCATATATACTTTCAGCCTGGCCAGTGGCTACCAGAGTTTTGGAAGTGGTGGCCACTGAACATCCTCTTCTCTCTGCCCCTTCCCCTTTACATTGATTGCCATTGAAAAAGCATCTAATAACATGGCCCTGCTTCTATAACTCCATATTCAGGTTGTTACTTATGTGTAATTCTAGTGAAAATGATGGTGAGTTCAGACAACACAAACCATGGAAGTTTTTTTTTTATATTGTTGATCTGTTGTGTTGTCGTAACCCAGTTGTGGTATTTCACCATTGTAAGTTTGCACTTTAAAAATCATATTAAGAACAATGGTTGGTTCTGTGATTTCCCCATACCACCATGGCTTGTCATGTTGTATGAAGCCGGGATCATACTTTCCACAGTCCTGGTGCACAGCCACCACAGAGTCCTCTGGAAAGAGTGGTAAGTGCAGGAGCTACTCGAGCCATGCAGCTTTTACATGCAGAACAGTGAGAAAACAGCAGGTGACACATGCAGGGAGAGGTGCATCTTAGGATTGAATTTCAGGCACATTGCCTGATGGGATTCATGCCAACAGTGGGAGAACTGAGCAGGGAGGGTGGAAACAACAGTAAGGTAGAAACCACTTGATAATCTGTGAGGTTTTTGTTTGTTTAGTCACAAAGTCATGCCTGGTGCATCACAACCCCATGGACAACATTCCTCCAGGCTCTCCTGTCCTTTCACCATCCTCAGAGTCCACCCAAGCTCACACCCACTGCCCCAGTGACTCCATCCAGCTACCTCAACTCCGCATCCCCTTCTTTTGCCATCTATCATTCTTTTGCCATCTATAGATAGATAGACTTTTGCCATCTATCGTTCCCAGCATTCAAGTTTCTCTAATGAGTTGTTCCTTCTCCTTAGGTGGCCCAAGTATTTGAGCTTCATCTTCAGTATCAGGCCTTCTAAAGAGCAGTCAGGGTTGATTTCCTGTAAGATTGACTGGTTTGATCTCTTTGCAGATCTGTCAGGTAGATCATAGTAAAAAATTGTGAACCATGTTAACCATGCAGGGTTGTTTGCTGTGTTGTGGGAATGCAACTAGTGTTCAGATGTCCATCTCTCATGTTGAGAATGGGCCATATGTGCTTCAATCTCCTCTACATGAAGGGGAATTTTAATTGCCTTTATGGAGGAACACTAGATAGAAGTATCAGTTTGTGTTAACAGACAATAAACCCATAATAGAAATAGTAATTAAAATGCTAAAACACATATCAAGCATAGGCCAGGGTAAAATACTACATTTGCAGGGCCTTGAAAGGCTTCAGAGAAGGGTCTTGGGAGAGCCCTGATGGCAACTTATTCCAGAAGTGGGGAGGAGCATTGCAGGAAAGGCCCTCACTTGTATGGTTGTCCAACTAACCACTCTCACAGGTGAGAGCATTTTTTGCTGATATGAAAATATAGGAACGCTGATGGGGTGAAAACAGGCCTTTGGATTATATGTTTCCACGAGCACTTTAAATTGAACTTGAACATGGACGAGTAAACAGTACAGCTCATACAGGAAAGGGGTTATCAAGTGGCTGCATTCTGTACCAACTGGATGCGCCCCGGTGGGAAGTTAAGCAGGAGCCTGTATTTGCACGGTCAGCAAGTGTGTTGTGTTGCTTCCTTGCAGTTTTCTGAGTATATAAGGGAGGTTGTGTGAACCACCTCTAAAGAAAAAATGATTTGAACCCAACTATTAATCGTGTGTACGTGTGTGTATGTGTGTGTGGCAGGGGTGTGGGAGCAGGATGCACAATTCTTTAACTGGCTGACATGCTCTTTCTTTCACATCACTTTCCTTACAGCAGATCCAGCTAACTGATAGAAGGCTCCAGTCAGCTTCACCTGAGCAAAGGTATATTTTTGATCAACTATAGATATTTTCAGGGTTTTTTTCTTCCAAAGTCCCAAATAGTGGCATTTGTGCACTTCCTTGGGTGTCCCTTCTGCTTGCCCTTGATTAAAAGTTTTAGTGGTAGTTGCTTTTGTTTTTGTGAAGGGGACTAATACCATGATATGGCCTTTGTAAGTTGGTAAAAATAACAAAATAGCCTGCATTGATTTGAGCTAGATATTCCTGACCTGTTCCTTATCACAAGCACTTTAGTATTCTAAATCAGGAGTATAGAGCCCTAGGAATAGGGCCAAATCTGGCTCTCCATGCTTTCCCCTGAAATCTGCTTCTCTTTCCCTTGACTATCTTATTTGGTGTGTACTACATTCTGGGTTATTTCCCCCTTTCTAAAGGGTCAAAATGCCTCTTCTAAGGCTTAGGAAAGGGTATTGAGGGCTTTATGCTAAATATATATTTGGCATTTTTAATAAATCCAGGGGCCTTATAGGCAACATCCAACTCTTTTATTCTATGATTCTTGCATAAGTTGGATTTGGCTGTTGTCGCTTTTGAGTCCTTCCGCTTATTTAAAAGCATGCTGTGTGCCCTTCAGAAGTCGTTGAGTATCATATGTCATTAATGGCCACTGTTTCTGGAGATGATAGGGGTTGTACTCTAACACATCGGAAGCGCACCAGACTGGGAGGGCTTTGTTACTGGGAGATGGGTGGATGATTAATTTATTTTAAAGTTCTTCTTCATAATCTCTGCCTCAAATGTAGGCAGTTTAGGTTTACAGCACATAGCATGGAATGTGCTAGAGTTGAAAGGTGTTAGGCAGGAAGCCCAACCCCATATTCGATTGACCCTGGCAGAAGTGGTTCTCCACTCCATATTTCTTTCTCATGAGAGCTGCTTCATTCCCTTGAAAATGCTACACAAAGTCAGGAGACTTACCAATGAGATGAGCTGTGGAGCAGGGGGATTCCCCCAAAATTGGATAGAGGGACTCCCCACAGGGGGAGCTTTATCTCTCCGGAAAAGCTGATCTCAGATCCAAAACTCAGTGTACATGCATTCTTATTGCACAAAAAATGGGAATTCTATGAAAACACTTGTATGTGGATGGAAATGTAAGAATATTCATATCAAAACATGTTCTTCATGTTATACTCTCTCTCTGCATGTGTGTATGTGTCTTGTAACAACAGTGGTCACAGTAAAGAACCTTATATTGAGAGTTCTGAGTCAAAGAGCAAGCTTTCATGTTCTGTCTGCTTGAAGGAATTTAAGAGTTTACCTGCCCTACATGGGCACATGAGGTCACATGGAGGGACACGGACATCGCCTATCTTCAGACAGGTAACTGTCTTTTTTCCTTCCTTTTCTACTTGGCTATCATCTTTTCTTGCTGAGGTTTGCTGCTTGCTTTGCCTCACTGTTTTTCTTTTTTTAAAGCCAACAGTTCTGGAGTTCCTCTTGTTATCGTCCAAGAAATATGTCTTCTTCAGGCTTTGTTTCTAAGTATGTTCTATCAATGGACATTTGTCATTGTGATGTCACATGGACCTCAGTGCTTCTAGGCTCATGGTGAAAGAGGTTCCTCACTCAGAACAAACCTTTACATGCATTTTTATTGGTTCTTACATGTAAATAGGAGCAAGACCTTGCTCTTGGCATGATAGATTATCTTTGTGGTGTGTTTTTTTAACCTGGATCAACTTAATGTTTGCCCTGAAACATACCAAAATATGAGTACTCTTTCAGGTTGCATTTACCAGTACAGTGGCTGTGCAATAGCAACATCAGTCAAGACATAAAAGATTTATTTATAAACTTGAAGGAAGTGGGCTCTAATCCACAGTGGCCAATGCTACAATAAATCTGCTAATCCATTGAATGCCACAAGATTCCTTGTTGTTCATGCTACGATCCTTCACTTTCTGGTTGAGAACCAGCTGTGGGTGAGGCTGAAAGCCTTTAATTGTCTGTACAGGAGGAAGGACAGAACCTGCCACAGCAACACCCGCAGCAGGAGCAGCTGCCCGCTGAGGTGGAGAGCTTCATGCCCATCGTCATGCCTGTTTCTGTCCCTGTCAAGCATCTGTCGCCTGATCCCAGCAAACAGGCTGCTGATGGCAGTGCGGCACTCAGAGATAAGCCTGTCTCAGATGATGAGATGCCTGTTCTTATGAGGATGACTTACTCTCCGCCGCGCTCCCCTAAAGCGGTCAGCCCATGCGCGTCTTCTGTGAGTTTTCTCTTGCCACTAACTGTGCTAAGGGTGCCTAATAAATCCCTTTGCTATTCTTTTTTTCTTTGGTGTGTGTGTGTTTTACAAGTGCTGAATATTGCATGCTTAGAGGCATGCAGTAATCCCCAGGTTCATTCAGAACTAACTTTGTCTTGGTCAGTCCTTCAGTATCCCTAAACTGCAAGCTGAAAATACATATACGCATGCACACTCAAAGGGATTTATCAGCTGCCTGTGTTCTTTGTGCTTGTCTGTTTCAGTGTTGCTGCTTTCAACCAGTTTTTTTTTCTTCAGAATGAAGGGGTGCATTTTGTCAAGTATCGACTCCTGAGGATAAATAGCTATGAAGAGTTTGATTAGTGACTCTTGCTTTGATAGTAGACTTAGTTTTGGGTTAGCCAAAGATACTTTTTCACACCATTTAGAACACATACTAGCGTAATTTAAGATACATATGCAAGAATCTTAATACCAGGACATGCCCAGACAGGGTTTTGTTCATAGTTACCACAAATTAGCATTTGTGGTACAGATAATATTTTGTTCTTATTATTGGAGAAGCACAATGGGAAGTATTACATTGGGAGATTAAGGTTTAAACTCTCAACTTGGGAGGAGATGCTATGAATATCATTTAATGCAATTTTAAGAAGTATAAGTACCATATGCTAGGGGTATGGGATAGACACAGTTTGGATAGGGATCAGTGCCCTCCTGCATCATTTTTGCAAATAATTATGTATGCACACACATACACCAAGCTGTTATTTGCTCCATCGGTAAAAAGGACTAGGCAAATACCTGACTTTTTTGCCCAGTAGAGCAAATAAGAACTGGGAGAAACTTTAATTGGGAAAACAGCTTGAAGGATACTCCTTTCTAGCACCATAATACCTCCCCCGCAAATATGGCTGCTGTTCACACTTCTTAAAAATATGGGATACCATATCCACAGATCTTCTTAGTCACATCTTGCTTGGCTGTTAATATTAGAATTATACTGAATTTATATCCCAGCTTTTGCTTCTTGTGAGGAACCAGAGGTGGCTTACATAGCTCCATTTTATTCTCACAACAACCACCCTGTGAGATAAGTTAGACTGAGAGTTAGTGACTGGCCCAAAATCACCTAGTTAGCTCCATGGGATGGTTTAACTTGGAGTCCTGCATTGCCAGAAAGTGACTGGCCCAAAGTCAGCCAATGGAGCTTCATGGCCAAAGAGGGTACTAGACCCTGGATCTCCAAAGTCCCCAGTCCAGCATGCTAATCACTATGCCTTACTGACTCTCAAGGGTTATTGGCTTTTGTTTTTAGGAAAGCGGATGATACCTTTTTCTCAGTAGCTCCTCAGAGCACTTTTAAAAGTTTTCTAAAGGATTTTTAACACAGTATTTGAACTTTATTTAAAAAATTACAACATGAGATAAGGAGAAAATGAAATCTACATTACAGACAAAATCAGCAGACAAAATCAGTGTTATGCATGTAATAAAGCCAAAGGGAATAACCTGGTGAACATTCCTGATAAACTGCAACCTGAGCCCAGGCATGAAATTACAAGCCTTTTAATGTGGTTTTGTATTTTCGCTGCATTGTTGAAATATTAAGATCTCTTGTATATTCAGTGAGTGGAGCAGCAGAAGGCTCTCTGGTTAGTTCTGCCCATGCTGACCCTAATCAGGTGCATAATCTTATTTTCAGTTTGTGGGTAATCCCACAGTGTGACAAACAATTGAGGAAAGGTGGGAGGAATTCCACTTCTTAGCTAACCCTTGCTTAGTTGCCAACAGTAAGAGCAAGAATGGATGTATATCTTCACTGATGTTAACATGCAACCAAATGTTATTTGGATCTCGGGGGCACATTAATTGGCCCAGCGCTTTGCCTCTGTTTGAGACTCAAGCGCTGAGGCAAGAGGTATGCAATTAAATACACCCCCATGATTACTAAAATATCTGAATGCTGGAAACTTCCATTCAGGATCTCAACAGAAAGCACCAGGATAACGTCACCAACTCTGAAGAAGACTTTAAACTTTATCAAGACAAGAAGAAATACCGCCATAGACCTGAGCCACTTTTCATACCACCTCCATCCTTCAACCTCAGTGCATCTCACTCAGGCGCTACACTGTACCAAAGCCAGCTCCGCTCCCCCCGCATCCTCAGCGACCATCTGCTTGACAGGATTCATGAACCCCCTCCTTACACCCCCCCTCCAATGCTCAGCCCAGTGCGCCAAGGATCTGGCCTCTTCAGCAATGTCATCACGTCCTCTCACGGCACGTCTCACCCCCAGCTTCCGCTCACTCCTCTGACGCCCACTCCCCGGGTCCTCCTCTGTCGATCTAGTAAGTATTTTGTGATACGTTATGTAAATATAGCTTACATACACGCTAACAGTTTGCCTTGCTTTGGTACAGAACAGTGTTTGTTTTGCATTGTTTTAAGAATACTTGCTTCTGGTTCCTGCTTCATGCTCACCTGGAGAGCAGCATTTCAGATGCTGGAATGCAGGAAACATCCAGGTGCTTACTGACCTGGAGAAGTCAGCCAAACAACCCCAGGGTGGAGTTCCATGATCAGTAGTCTCACATGATTTATTTGTTGCTGGGCCGTACCACCTCAGGCTCATGGGAGGGGGATGAAGAAAGAATGTTCAAATAGTCCCTTAAATTAAAAAAAAATCTTGTACATACAAACTGTCAGGACCTGGGCTGCTCTGGTAGCCAAACCAATGCAACCACCACCACATTTGCAGGATCAGTCCCAGGTCCTGCTAGAGCTCTCATTCTGCTGATAGGTACCAGCTGGGAGTCCTGGAGGAAGAGCTGTACAAGAACAAGCTCTTCCCTCTGGAACTGACCTCGGCAGTGCAGGTCATCCTTAGCTGCAGTGCCTTCATGCTGCCTGACAGCTCCTGGTTTCTGCCATGTATCCTGCCTTGCTATGTGGTCTCAGCAGCACAGGGCCCTCTGTTTGCTGCTTTGCCTGCACTTTGCCTGACTGTTCCTGCTCTGTTTCTGGCCTTCCCATGTTACCTTGCTGTTGCACCTGCTCTTGCCTGATCTATACCTTGCTTTGTGTGTATCCTGCCTTGCCATGTTGTCTCAGTAATGCAGGGCTTCCTATAAGCTGTGCCAGCTCCTGCTACTTGCCATGCCGTATACCCTACTGTGCTGGGTCTCCCACCCTGTTATCCTGTCCAAGGTTCCTGCAACTCGGTTTGTCCTCCTGGTTCTTGACTCTTTGCATGTTCCTGATCACATCCTTGTTTTGCCCTCATGCAATCTTCTGATTCCTGACTTCGACCTGTACCATGACTATGATTTGGACACTGTCTTTCCTGAAGTTCTGTTGCCCTGGTGCCTCTGTTGCTCATGGCTCACCTTGTCTCTGGTTGCACATGTCCTGGCCACGAACCCTGACACAAACAAAGCACATTCGATTAAAGGTTCTAGCCTTGCTGTCAGAAATTGGATAGCCCCACAGGCTGATGTGATACGGTCAAGCAGCAGGGATGCTGATCTTGTGTTCAGTCTCCAAGGCTTACAAAGCCTGTCCTGGTTCTGCAGTTATCACCTAATCAGCTGTGTAGATTGGGAGGGACCTTGGAGGCAAATGTTCTGTGAGCATAGCCTTGAAGATTGAGGAAGATCAATGCAGCACATCAAGTGCTTGAAATAAGGACTGCCCAGATGGAAGAATACTGCAGTCGGCATTCTTACATCTTAGATTATTCTGGAACAAACCAGCTTTGTTCTTCTCTCAGAAGAAACCCACAATACCACTTTAACAGTTCAACAATTGTAAGAAATAATTCTAAAAATATATACATGCACACATCTATGTCCATTATCAGTTTAACCAGGGGGCTGTAGAGGGTGGGGAGTGAGATAATGAAATCACAAAAGCCTGAAGGGGGACATATGTTATATTTGTTTTGCTTTGGAGAACTTCCTTTCATTTGTAGCAGAATAAGCTAAAGCAAGGAACTCAGTCCTTCAAACTGACACAGGGTTTAGCATTGCTACACTGTCTGAATGTCCTTTCTACATTGATTTTATATGTGAAGATACAGAAAACACACTTGTGGCCTTGAGTAGTTTCTTTAGACTTTCAGATTGAAGAATTCTTACAAAATGGTCTCAGGTGCAAAGATTATGGTAGTAATTTGCAAAGATTATGGTAATAATGATATCTGAAAACATGGATTGCATATATAAAGATACAGCTGGAAAAACAAAAATGCTTGGTCAGTTGATTTATCTTCTGTAGCTCAGCATTATCTGTGCCAGAGGCAGACAACATGGTGTCCTCCATATCTGTTGGAATTTCAACTCTCATCTTTGACCAGTGGGCACATTGATGGAACATGGGAATTGGAGACCAGCATTTCTGGAGGGTGTCAAGCTGGGGAAAATTACACCAGGCTGAAGAAATACAATGGCTGATGCACAATTCCTTCTCCTCACTTATTGCCTAATCCTTCTAACCAGAAAGATTGAGCCTTGGGCTTTGTGCATAAAATGTGTGTGGTCATAGACCACAGCTGCAGTTTGTGCCTTATTTGTTTAATTTAATTTGTTAAGATTTCCTGGAAAGCATTTCCTGAGAGAAATGTAAAAAGAACAAAGATATACTAGCTGTGGGAGCATCTTGCCTATATGTAGAAAGCTATAATCTTGCCTTTTTTTTTTTTTTTTTTTCAGACAGTGTTGATGGAGGCACTGTCCCCATGACGCCAGGGCCTGGAGAACAGGCGATTGATATAGAACCGTAAGCATTGTTCTTGCATGTACAGATATTGCTTGATATCTAGTCCAGTTATTATTCCTGGAATGTAGGTGTGTGCGTGTGTGTGTATGTGTGTGTCTAACATATCTGGAAGTGATTAGGTTGGGGAAAGCTGAATTAATAAAATTCTCATTCTGAAGTGCACAGTTCTTTTTTTAATTTCCCCAGCATAATATTAATTGGACTTCAGCACACATAATAAATCTTCAAGTTATTAAGCAGGTTTTAACAAGATGCAGTTCCTTCCTACTTTATGTCACAGTTAGTTTTTATTTATTTTATTTAAAACATTTCTATATCACCCTTCATTCTATACAGCATTTCAGGGCAGCATGCAATAAATTTTATTGTCGTTGTTATATTACTATCCCAACTTTATTTTAAAAATACACTAGATAGTTAAGAGTTTGAAGAATGAAACTGTTCCTGCATTATTAACATTTGAAGGCTCTTACCTTTTTGTCTTAATTCTTAAAGAGAGAGTTTTATATTGGTTTTCTAAGACAGCAGACCTATAGAAACTTACCTGGGAGGAAGTCCCATTGAATTTACTTGGCTTGCCTCTAAACAGATGTGTATAAAATTATACTGTAAGCACTCAATACTTTCAGGGCCACTGTTGAGGTAGAGATATAATCATCTAGTTCACAGAGGACTCTGGTGGATTCCTGGGTTGGGACTGTGGAAGGAGTGGAGCATATGAGCCATGTGTGCGCCATTTCTGATATTAGTTAAAAACTCAGGGAACACTCCATTCCTGGTTTTTATGATTTCTAAACTTTGAGACTCTGGGTTGTTTCTGAGCTTGAGTGGAGATCAGAAATGGCATCTGTGTGGGTCACACATTCTGCTCCTTCTGCAGTTCCTGGGTTAAGCTTCTCAGAGTGTCATACAGAGTGGGGTCAGTGTTATGAATGGATGCAATACCATCAGCATGCGTAGTGCTTTTCAGAGTAGGATAAGAAGACTTGTCCCTGCCCCATGCAGTTGATGGTCTCCAGCAACAGTGACCAGTTTGCCACAGAGAGGGGAAGAAGATGGAAACCAGAGTAACAAAAAATGGTATATGTGTTTGGTTCAGTAGTTAAACTTAAAGTCAGCAGGAGCAACAGATTAAGTAAGCCACAAAAATTGGAAGTGCCCTATGATTTCATTTCTGTTTGCCCTCAAAGCCCAAGAAATGGCCATCCATCCTACTAAAGAAAGCACGTATTACAAAACTCTAGTCACTGTGCTGGAACTTAACTGCCAATTGAGATAGTCCTTATATTTTACTTTTTCACTGAGTGCTCACAATATTTTCAGGGCTATTGTTCACTGCACATGTACACAGCTGTGAATGACTACACAAAGTATTATTAATCCTGTATTCCTTCACAGCTGTGAAGGTGTGCATATAGCTACCGGACTTAAAAATAAAAGCAACCTGAATGGCAGCAGGACCACCCACTGCTCCTGTAGTTACAGCCCTCTACTGTGGCATGTGCTTCAAACATGAACAATAAAAAGAATGCGACCTTTCAGTTCCCCTTACTTCTGCAGCTACAACACTATGTGATAGTACTTTTTTCATATTGTAAGCACAGCAGATAACTTTGTTAATGGATGTTCTTAGAGCAGCAATTGTGTTTTGAAAAAATAGTAGCACAACAGTGCCTGTCAACTGACAGGGACTCCAGTGTAGCTCCTAACCAGGAGCACAGCAAGGAAAGGTAGTTAGGTTATTCTTGGGTGAAGAACACTGCATAATCCACTGAGCTTTCTTGCTTCCCAAACAAACAAGCATGTTCATTCTGAACCACTTTTGGAGGCCCTAGCTTTTCCACCTTTTTCTGCTCTCCGTCTTGACCTTTCCTTTGCTATATGTAGCTGTTTCTCAAGGCTCTTATTTCATAGTTAGATCTTGTGTCTCACAGACTGTGCATCATGCACTGTCCTTTCATGCAATGCATTTCTTTGTTTTCAGACGTATCAACATTGGATCAAGGTTCCAGGCTGAGATCCCTGAACTTGAAGACATTGCAACAGTAGGGAAAGAGGATCACAAAGCAACTTTAGTTTGGCAACCATGGCCAGACCTGGAAGACAAACTTTTCCAACAAAGAGGTAGTATGTTTTCCCCTTTATGATAAAGCTTTTTTGCTTTATACATAACATTTGGGTTCAGCAGTCCCTGTTAAAGTGTGACCGAGCACGGAAGTTTGTTTGATTCCAAAATTACTCTAGTTTAACATTTTTTAAAAATATATATTTTACTGGTGTCATTGACACATTGCAAAATTATATGTTTGGATACAGACTTGTGCTTGACCAAGTTTTGTTGAACCCAAAGAAAAGGGACTGGGAAGCAGTTTTCTCTGATTTCCACTTCTTCAGTGCAGCATTGAGGCTCCTCTGGAGCAGCATGTGATGTGGTGCTGAGGGTTTCCAGCAAAAGGAGAATTGCAGAATATCCTTCTTCCAGTAAGAAAACACTGGATTCTGCTTCCCTCTGCAAGTGGAAGGAGCTCTTCCATTTCCAGAGGGACAAGTGTAGCTCCAGCCTGTAGTCTCAGGGTTCTCAGGGTATAGGAGTGCCATCTATTTCTCCTTAATATATTTTCTGTAATAAGAAAAAGGGCAGAAGAAACAAGGGAGAAGGTTTTACAAAGGAGTTGACCATTACATCAGGACTCTCGTGTAAAATTGCATGCTTAAGCAGAGTAATTACACTATGAAAGCTTTGTGTGGAAACACACTGGAACAAAAATGATCACGGTACATGGTAAGCTTAAAAGCCTAATATACACCAATATACTGAAATGTTTTCAGAGTAATGTCAGAGTAACATTATTAAGAGGAATTCAGTGTTGCTCTTCTGCACCATGGGAGTGTTAGGTCCTGTGTCAAGATATGCTGACTCAGAACAAATAAATACTGGGGGGTGGTGGAAATTCTGTTAGAGTCCAAAAGAATTCTGTAGACCATCATAAAGATTTTTTATGCACATAACGTTACAGTTGCAGAAAAATTTACAAGTAGAATTTATGATACAAGTAAAATGTGAAGTTGCTTTCTCTATCCTATTTTGAGAAGTTACTAAGAATTGACCCTTGTCAGCTTAAGTCTTTGGTAGTTTCACTTTCCTATTAATTTCATTTGATTTAGTCAAATGCCAGATAGCTTAGTATTTTTTTAAGTGGGTATGAAACTTCAGAGACAACTGACCCTATCAGTATTCAGGACTACATAGAGTATGACATGCTTGAGGTTGGCTTTAAGAAAAGTTTTAAATATATTGCTAAGAGCTGCTAAGATCTGCAGCAACCCCACAGGCTTGGACAGGTTAAGTGCATTTATATTCATCAGTTTATTTCTCAGGCATGATTTGAGCTTGAATTTACCTCAGAGAGTTTATGCAATACAAGCTCCATTATGTATAACTAGTATTCTGCCTCAGTGTTCTCAGATTGAAGTTGCCAGCTTATTAAAAATTTAATCAGTGACTTATTTCACATGATCACCTTGAGGGAAGTCAGTTACGGTGTGTGCTGGCTGGATTTGCCTTGCTGGTGTAGCTTGTGGTATTGTCCAAACCTGGGTGGCATGACTTGTTTAAATGGGTGGTAACTGTCAAATTACCTGTAGGATAGGTTACACCGTAGGGTGGCTGCCTGCTCTGCTCCTTCCAGACCAGCCATGCTACTCAAGTTTGGACAGTACCGCAAGCTTCAGTTGAACTGCCTGCCATGGCAGAACAGATAAATCATTCTGGTGTGTTTCCTTCAGCACAGTTGTGAGAAGTGGCCTTTTGTATTGGCCTTATAACCTTTTTTTCAGATTTGCACACTCTGGCAAGCTGCATGGATGTGCTTAATACTGGTGTTGATTTTTCTTTGCACAGTGACCAACTTCTTAAATATGTGTTGTTCGAGTGTATTAAGTGGTGGTGGAACCAATCTAGAATATGGTTTGCATTCTCTCTTTGAAGCTAAAGGGGACATTTTGGTAAGATTCTCTTTTGCTTTCATGACAAGTTAAAAATAACAATGTTTCATGAGGAAATTGGACATAATAGCTTTTTGAATAACTACCTATGAGAACCTAGCATCAATTTACAACAGTTGTTTCTAGTAGTTTATTTTTAAAATGTTTATCTTGCTTTTTTAGAACAAAATTTAACAACACTAACAGTAGTAATTAACAATGCAGTGCTATCCATGTTTAATCATCAGTAATTTATAGTGTGTTCACTGAGCCCTGATCCTAGGAAAATATGCATAGGATTGCCACTTTTTAAAATATCTAAGAGAGCAGCCCTCTATATCCAACCCATCTGCAGCCCAGTGAGGACTGAGCGTGCTCAGGAGCTACGAATGGCAAATGTCAGCTAGAAAAGCAAAAGGGTAAACTGAATATCGAAGTAAACTACATAGTTAAAAAATTCTAGCAATAAAAAGCATGCCTTAACACAGTAGAAATTATTTCTGATTTATGTGTGGAGTTTTTTGTACTGTAGGTTGCCCTAGAGATGCTTCTTTTGCTGAAACCAACAAGAATGAAATCACATCCTCTGGCAAATTATCATTATGCTGGTAAGTTACTCAGTAAGAGGTAAAGAGTACATAGTAGGTCCATGTGTGATCTTTGGTCACTGGATATATCTATGGAAGCAACATGTGTCAGGTGCCATCAGCTAAGTACTGAGAAAAGAGCATGATTCAGTTGACAAGATATAATTATGTGGCTTTTCCCCATTTGTTTACTTTAGGTTCGGACCAGTGGACGCCTGTTGAAAAAAAACTGTTCAATAAAGCACTGTCCACATACAACAAAGATTTTATTTTGGTACAGAAAATGGTAAGATATTCTCTGTTCTTTGGACCTGCATTTCTGATCTAGCACTTACCTGCTGCTTTGTCATCCAGCAGCTAGGAGGTCATCAATCAAGAGGAGAATTTAACACATTTGCATTATGAGAGAACTCTGCCCATAGACTTTTACTGTGCTTGTCATAGTGGGTGTGAATTAATTACCTGGGTTAGAGCGAACAAAAATACTTGCAAGGAATGAAGAGAGAAAGTGAGATGGTCAGTCTGTTGTTGTGCATGCATGTTTGATTGGAAATCTTGGTTTATATTCCTGTCTCACCCATGAAGCCCACTGGGTGAATCTGAGTCAGTCACTCTCTCTTAGGGGGACCTACTCCAGGGAATGCTTTTGTGAAGTAAAAAGAGAATAATCCGCAGTTGTGCTAGCCAGAGCTCCATGCAGGATAGGCAGGAAATAAGCTGTATGTGTGTGGGAAAAAGTCCTGTAAGAGCTCTTACTGATATTTCATTGAACCTGTAGAGTTCTGACAAAATGCATGCTGTTAACCAAAGCATGAATGATTAAAGCATTTGTACATATGGATATTGAACACTGCACAGTAGTGGTATGATTGTTCAGTGTCTACATTAATGTCTAATTGTAGGTGAAATCTAAAACGGTGGCACAATGTGTGGAATACTACTATACCTGGAAGAAACTTATTCACTTGGGGCGAAAGCACAGAACACGCCTAGCAGAAGTAAAAGATGACTACCTGGTAAGTCCCTCCTCTCTCTCCCTCACTCTCTTTTTCTTTTTAGAAGTGAAATTCCACTTTCAAGGCATTTATTCATGTGTGCCATTCATAGGTTACCATATATAGCAAAAAATACATACAGTTTAACATTTGCAAACAGGTAGTTTTGTGCAAGAACCTTGCCAATGCCAGAAGAATGCTTATTCTTTTCCCCTTTGGTAGTTCAGCTTTTTAGTAGTCAAGTCTCTATTATATAGACATTTTCTATATGTATCAAAGTAAGTACTGATTCCCTCAGGTATATGCTTCTAGGGCACTCATGGCTCAATGGTAGAGAGCTTGCCTTGTGAAAGGTTCTGGGTTCAATTCCTGGCATCTTCAATTTAAGGAATTGGGTAGCAAGTTGGAATTGCCTTAGGGTTAATGGGACGGGCTAAAAATAAAATAAAATTGGGCAAAGAACCTCTTCCTGGAGAGCCATTGTTAGTATGAGTAGGTATTACTGGACTAGATAGACAGACATTCTGGCCTCATATTAGACAACTTCCTATGATTTTGTTGTTTAAGAAAATCACTACCAATTTCTGTGTGTAGATGAAAGAGCAGAAGCATATGCTATGTTTTCAGAGTAATAGGCGCATTCAATAGAAATGTAGCTCTTTCTCTCTTGGGGCAAATTCTGAAAAACAGGTTCTGCAAGAAGTGGAGGTGGGAACTCATTCCCTCTCTAAAAAAAGAAGAAAGCAGGGAGTGAGAGGCTAGGAATGTTTCTCTGAAGACAGTAGAATTTTTATATTTAACATCTGGGAACATATCTCTCCTCTCCAAGGCAGACAAATAGATAAACACTAGTGAAGTTTTATATTCATCTTGTAATCAAGAACTTTAGATTTACCTGCTTCATTCCTCAGGCAAAATGTGCACATATAGGTTGACTGTGCATAATCTGTGATTAATTCATTTGTGCAGAAACCAAGAATTTCTTTCACCAGTTTTTCTACTTAATTCTAAAATTTATTTAAATTTCAGACTAGTGGAGAAGATGAATTGGAGGAAGAGGAACAGGCAGAGGAGGACAGAAAATCAGTCAAAGAAGAGGAGATTGACATTCAGAATTCTCCTGACCCACCACTGATTGCTGCTGTTGCGCCCATTAACTTGCCTTCCCTGCAGAGCCTCACAATTGCTGTGACCTCTTTTACGTGTGAAATACCAGACTGTGGGGCTGTACGTGTACTGGATGGTTATTTTTTTAATGCATACATGTGTTGGCTTAAGTATAACTGAGCTGTGAGGATTCTGTGGGAGGTATCATACATACATTGTTTTGTCACTTGTGGCTATAGTGAACTGCTAGTAAATCAACACTAGTGCAGTTTAATTATTGTGTGCTAGGCAAAGCAAGCATGGCTGGTCCTACTGTAAAGCAGAGTGAGGTGGTCACCAGGAGGTGGTTGCAAGATCCTCAGGAGTAAGCTGTACTATATTACCTGCTCTGGGCCCCTTAAGCTAGCCTGCTGGACGATGCAGACCACTTTCCTGATTCAGTTTTATTTGCCAGACCACTTGGGTTTTAGAATGAAATGGGAGAAGGCATCAGCTTTTTTTTTTTAACTTTAGAAAGCAAAATACCTTGGACTGGCCCTGCCAACAAGTTCTAATGATGTAGTAGTCTTCTTTGTGCTGGTGCAATATCCTTACTGCTAGTACTGTGACAACATTGGATACGCCTCTGGAACAGTACTGTTCAAATGCAGAAATGGAAGTTGGGTACAAGAATTTTGCATTACTGAAAAATTTCAGTTTTCATTTTTCAGGAAGCAAATTTCTGTCCCTGAAGATTTTGGGGGTCATAGTGCCTAGTGAAATCTCAGAAGCTGAGAGGAGGCTGCAGGGTGGGTTTAATAAGATTTCTCTTAAGGCACCTCATATTGATGACTGCCAAAGATAGGCAAAATTACTAGGAATTTTAAAAATACATACTTTTTCACAGTGAAAGTTGTTTACAAACAACAGATAAACAATTCAGGAACACAGATTGAAACTGCTTATTTACTGCTTATCAGCAATTAACTGATAAGCAGTAAAAAATACAACTTTGAGAACTCTGTTCCCAGACAAGATAATGTATTTAATTTATGTAGACATTTATATTGTTTTTCTTTATCAAATTCAAAAGTGTTTTCTCTGAAGAGGAAATAACTAACAAACTAGTTAAAAGGTATAATGCTAATATATCCTGAATTCAATTTATGTGAACTGAGGTCTGTCTCTTGTTGATAAGTATATATTAGGAGACCTTGCTGTGTTTGTATATTCACAATGGCAGATACTCTCATGTTGCCCTTTATTCCCATAACATGTGTATTTTTTTCCTAACTAGAGATTGATTTCTCCTCCATTTATATCCTGCTGTGATTGTGTGAGATAGTGTATATAGGCATCCCAGGAAGTCTCCCATCCAGAGGTTTTGGGAACTCCATGTTCAGAAGCTGGGGACAAAGGATATAGGACAGGGCTTGCATCTGGCTGATCTCGTCAGAAACAAAAAGCTGGGCTAGACAGAAGTTCAGTATGATCCAGCTGGACTCATCTTAAACAAGCACACAAAATTAAATCAAAGCAAGTTAGGGTAGCGGTGTTTGAGGATAAGTCTTGATTGTGCTTTGCTTCAGAGGGCTATTTTGTGGTTTGATTTTTATTTGTGTTTGCCTCCTAGATATTTAGCTCCAGACAAGCCCTGAATGGCCATGCTCGCATTCATGCTGGTACAAATTCTGGACTGAAAACCCGCTGTGGAGGCCCTGGCACAAAACAGAAATCTAGTTCCCAGAATGACTACTGCTCTCTCAAAAGCTCCCCTGCTCATAGTACGGCAAGTGGTGAGACTGATCCACCTACCATCTTCCCTTGTAAAGAATGTGGCAAGTGAGTAAATACGCATACAGTTAAAACACTGAAGTTGCTTTTTCCAATTTTAAAAAAGTTGAAAATAAATCCCCACTGAGATAAGAAAATTGCCTTTGTGAGTAGGACTTATTACAGTGGTAATTCTGCTGCATAATGGTGGCAAAGTTTAATGAGGTGTCTAAGAAAGCATTCAGCTGCCATGATCCAAATTTAATCTTTATTTTCTACTTCCGAATAAATTTATCCAGGATCATGCTGCAGCTTGTCTTTCAAGGAACAAAACTCTTGAAAAATCTGGATATTTAGTTGAAGCTATTTTACTATCCAATATTTTGTACATATCACTTGATGAATTGCAGCAAATCATATTTTGTTTCCTTCTCTAATTTCTTAATTCCCTACAGCACTTCTGATATGCTACAAAATACTCTCTTCAACAGTCTGTCAAGCTATAAGCTAGTGCCATAACAGAAAAGGCCCTCTTATTAATTGCCATCCACCTTCTTTGGCAGGAGCTCCCAAAAAGACACTGCTGAAGACACTCCTAGGTGTGTAGATATAGGGGCAGATATATATATGGAAGGATACAATCCTTCAAGTAACTTGGCACCAAGCTGCTTAGAGCTCTGAATGTTAATACTTGAACTTTGAATCAAATATAAAGAGAAGGGCAGCTGTTGCAGACAGAAGAGTAGTGGCATAGCATGATCATGTTAGACAATCCTTGTTTACAGCTCCAGCACTTTTTGGATCTGCTGAAATTTTTAACCATTTTCAAAGTCAACCCCATGAATATGATTCGTTATTTGTTTTTCGGCGCCAGGCAAAGACCTTTTTATTTAAGCAACATTTTAAATGTTAATACTACTGAATTTTATCTGGCCAGGGCGGCTTATTTTATATTGTGTGTTTTAAATTATTATGACTATTTTATATGTATATTTTAACTTATGTGGTTTTATTTATTGTTGTAAGCCGCCCCGAGGCTTCGGCGAATGGGGCGGCATAAAAATGTTTTAATAAATAAATAAAATAAATAAATATATTATGCCTTGGAGTAGTCCAGATGAGATGTTGAGAGTATGGTAACAGTACTTAGGTTGTCTCTGTCCAAATGAGGGCATAGTTGGCATATCAACTTGAAGTGATAAAGGGGCTTTTATCCAGTCCACTTTTGCTTCTGATGACAATGGTAGATCCAAAAGCCACTCTCAAACAACCTGATCCTTTAAGAGAGAACACAACCTCCACCAGAAAAGGTTGAACATTACGTAATATGCAGCTGATCTTTGTCCTCTGTAACACCCATATGCTCTTCCCTATGTACTCAAAAGTTTTGCTCCTGAAATCTATTATGTTCTCCCCACTCCTACTCCTTTTTATATTAGGACATTTTTCAAAATCAAAAGTCGGAATGCTCACATGAAAACACACCGACAGCAAGAAGAGCAACAACGACAGAAAGCCCAGAAAGCTGCTGTTGCTGCTGAAATGGCTGCCACAATTGCAAGGACTACAGGGCCGGCTGGGCCTGGCTTGATTCCATTGGACCACTTGGATCTAATAAAGCAGGTTGAACCAGCTGATGATCTCAGCAGTGATGTGGTTCAGGAACTGGGAGAAGTCATTGACAGTACTGAAGTCATTGACCCTGGTCTCTTACTGGATGAAGAAGACACAGAATTACTTCAGGATGGTGTTGAGCTGTAGAAGAAAAAAGTCCATTCTGTAAAATAACAGATGCCAGTTGAAATTTGTTTCTATTACTAAGAAGAAACAAATGTCTACTTTTTCCCTTTTATTTTACACTGTTTGAATAGCTGGATTACTTTTTATCCAGGACTGGAAAAAACAAATCTGAGTTTTGTTTTGTTTGGTAATATGTCAAATTGGTTTCAAAGTGTGGAGAATAATTCATTTGTTTCCCCACTTTAAAGGTATTTTGTTTTATGCCTTGGAAACAAGTACGTTCTGAGAAGTTCATGTTTTCATTTTCAACCATTTTTACAAGGACTCAAATTCTTCAACTCCTCAGGGTTTTCTTCCCCTGCCACCGCCCCCCCGCCCCCCATAAATAGAATTTCTTTTACAGTGTTTTTCAATTGTGCCTTTAAGTTCTGGCCCCTATACGTTGCAACAACTGTATTTTCAAATGCCAAGATAATTGAATAATAACACAGGTTGGGCATAGAATAGAGTGGTGGCATTGGAAGTTTTCTGCTTATGTAACAATCTCTAGCTGGATTGGTCCAGGCTGTTAGGGAACTTGTGTGGGAGGCCCATCACATCTGAAGCACAGAATCTTTCTCACAGTTTTTGCGTGGCATCTTCATTTGTTCTGTTAACAAGATGTCAAACATAGTTGTGCACATGTAGATTGTGCACTAGTTGTCTGTGTATGGATTGACTGGTGGTGCATTTTGCTCTGTTCACTTGGATCTGAAACCTGAATGGACATGAAGAGAGAGAACAGTTAGGTTAGTCCTTTAGTGTTCATTTTTGCTGAATTTTCATCTTGGCAAGGCAGTTTATTTGCAAAGAGTTCTGTATTCATATTGCCCACTCCAAAGCCTCTGACTCAGAAGGGATAGAATCAGTGAAATCAGAAGTACTTTGTATCTGAAGCCTAAAGAAATATGATTCTTTAGACTACAATATAACAGAGCTGCTGAAATCTTAACCCTGTCAGGCTGAAGAATGTTAAATTTGGATGCACATTAGCAATTACAGTGTGCTAAAATACCTCTGATTTGTCAAAGTAAATGATACTGTTTAAAGTTGTTGTTGAGGGTGTATATACTTTTAGCTGTGCAAAAGCTTCCTGCTGAGGAGGTTATGCGTATTTCTTCATAGGAAGAAAGAAGAGTGGAGAGATACTCGTCTTCAGGTTTGGTTTATTTTTAAGGTGATTCTGGCAAGCCCTAAAGAAATACTCTTATGCCACATTTCTGAATTTGAACTTTGTCTTTAATTATGTTAATTCATGTGGTTTCTCTGTCCCAGTGCTCTGTGTAGTCATGTATGTGTGTGGGTGTCCAGTGTGCACACAACCTTTGGTGCTACTTTTGTAAATTGAGGAACAGAATACATACAGAAGAGGGCAACCAGGCATGTGCAGAACTCTGTTGAAGCCCCATTGAATTATTTTATCATTGCCAAAGACTTTTAAAAGCTGCCATTTATAGTATTTTTTTAAAATGGTTAATTGGGTTAGTACAAGTATATTTAACTTTGAAATTTTAGTGCTTGCCGATACTCTTTAATGGACCCATAGGTTTGCCCTTAGAAGGGGTAAGCCCCCATATATCTGGGCAGCTTTTGAAAGAATAGGCCAGGTGTGAGTCTTAATACAACACAGGACGTGGAATGTTTATCATATTTCATGTCTGGCAACATTACTGAAATTCTAAAGCCTTTCCATTTCATTCTCATAGGTTTTTATTTTAACAATCTACAAAGCTTCAAGTTATGTCTAAAACTCATTTGAATAAAATTATGATCCTGGACCTCAGCTTCCCGCACTTTGTATATTTAACTGCACATAAACTGGCGTTTAAAACACATGGATAATACTTTAGGCTAAAATTTTCCTTTTTTTTTTCCTTTCTGTGAGCTTTGGCCATGTACTTTTCAGTCCCTGCATTCAGCTTTGGAATAATTCATCTGAGCAGCCCACAGCTATTTTTTTTCCAAAGCTAGAAGTGGGATCACTCCAGGCATAGTCCTCTGTATCTTTGTAATAGTAAGTGCACAATTCATGTAAAAATTGTGTGAGTGTATAAAGTTCCTTTATCCTGTGTGTGCACAGTCATTGATATTTTCCTAAGAGCCCAATTAATAGTTCCAGATTAGGTAGTAGTAAAAGAAATAAAGATGTCTCTCTCAAATTGTATATGGCCAATGCTAAAGTTCCTACTCAGGTTTAAAAACTGTGCAAGTCATGGCTAACACTGGAAAGAGATGATTTTTGGATGCCACAGAATAGACAAGTCAGGGCCAGTTTAGAAAACTGACATTGTCTCCCCATTGAGCATTCCAAGCACTTCTCTAACTGTTGCAGCAAGTGAGGAAAAAGCAGTATTTGGCCCAGCACATTCCCAGTTGCAGTCAAGACTTTTTAGACAATTTCAAACCTGTTGTGAATGAAGTGGCTTTGGACTGATTTAATGATACCTGAAAGCACTTTGGTAAATACCAGCCTTTCCGCAGGACTGATCTCAAGAATTTGTGTTTATCAAGGAAAAATTGGTTTCACCTAGGTCTTATCTGGGAATCTTGATGTCTTTTTCAGTGCACTTGACCATCTCAGTAGGGGGGTTCAGTTTCCCTGATCCCAGTCACTCTTGTTAGACAGTGAAGAGACGGTAATCTGCATATTGGGCCAAGATACCTCAAGAAACATTTTTCTTCCAAGGACTGTGTTCAGATGAGCATTACCAGCACCAGACTGAAGAAGCATATGAAAATGCCTTGCATAGCCAGTGGTTTGTTGACACAGATGCATCAAATGCATCTGACACAAATGCTGGTGGCACTGTTGCTGAAGTATGTATTAGAATCTCTCATTCCTCACAACCATAAATGCAAATATCCCATCTCCTCTTCTGGCATGCAAAAGAGGAGGTGAAAGTAGAGAGTGTCATGCAAGCCCCAGGCTTGTCAAGACTTATTCATGTAGCAGCTTACCATGGTTCATGTCTGAACTGGGCTTATAAGAGTCTTGCACAAGTTTAATGCAACCTCTATTCTCAAATGCTTTAGAAAATTGGAACTGCAAACAACCAAATTAAAAGCATCTGTGCTTCTTACGATTTTACCTCAAATGCTTGCTGTCAGCAAATACCACTACCTTGTTCATTAGGCACATAATTTCCTTCATCGAGGCTCTAGGTTTGTTGTGCAAGCCAATATCTGTCAATATCAGAATGTATTTCTCTCATCTATTGATAATAAAAATAAAAGCTCTTGCTGTAATAATAAAAGAAAAAATAAGGAAATATAAAGAATAAAAAAACCATATCTACTTTGCAATTATCTAACCATATATGATAATACTGTTTTCTTGTCAACAAGGCAAATTTAGCCACAGTTTGAGTGACATCATTCTAGTTGCAATTTAAAACACTTCTAGTGAGCAGTGTAATTTGTAGGTGGGCTGTCTTTGACTACTTTGAGTGCAATGGGTTGGACCCAGATTTCCTGCTAGCAGGATCATTAACTGAGCAGAATTTGTCTCAGCATGCTCATACTGGCATAAAAGGGGTGGGAGGGGCGATCTTTGCAAGATTCCAGTCTGCTTTTCCCCACTGTTCAGGAAGATCTCCCAATGCTCTGGAGCAGATTTGGGATGATCATTGCAGTGGGAAAGGAAATAAACTAAGAATGCAACCACCTTCATCCTGCCAGCAGGATTCCTCTGTTGGATCAGAAGTCTTTCAGGGATGGAAGGAAACCATCTGTCTGTGGGAGGCAGATTCCAGATCCAACCCAGTGCATTTGAATTATATGCGATGTGATGCTGTAGCCCATCTACACAGTAGAGGGCATGAGCTGAACAAAGCAATACAGAAGATTACCTGTAGTGCAAATCTAAATCAGTTAAATTATCTTACGAGTCCATGGTGTAACTTTGTCAGTCGCTGTGAGAGTCGTTTTAGCATTTGCTATTAAAAGTGATCACACTGAATAACAATCTCACCTTGTTCTGAAATTCTTGTTTAACAGCTGAGGTATCATATACAAAATAACCTGTAAAAAAAGCCATATAGTAGAACAGGCTGAGCTCTTCTTTGAAAGTGGATGGGCAATCTTATGCAATCAGGTTGTTAGTGACAATAAATCTTTGGAAGTCTACTCATAAGTTTTCTAACCAAAATTGAGAAGACCAATGTATAAATCTTGTAATACATCCTATAAGGATTCTTGTCTTTATATCTGAGTACATACCGAGGCAGATTCTCTACTAACACTGGCAAGTTAGTGTAGTAAACTACTGTTCACCCAAGGCAGGGCTAAGAAACCAGATGCTGTTTACCTGTAGTCCTCATCCCTGACTAGCAACCATGTTGGCTGAGATCTGTTCAACAACATTTTGAGGGCCACGAATTTCTCAGCCCTGATTTAAGGACTTGCTAAAACATTTAGGGCTCCATCCTAAACATGCATAAATGGGCCTACAATGTGAGTACTTTTCCATGCTGAATAGGGCATGCTGGAAATTGTAGGACTTTTTTCTGTCTAAACGTAGATAGGATTTTGCCTTTAAAGTAACAGATTATTGTGCCCTGAGATATATCCCTTTAATGTGAAATGTGCAGAGTGCATTGGTTGTTACTTTAGATTCTTGATGGCAGAGTGGAAATCATCTAGTTGTGTTCCTCAATTACATAGGTCCATATTATGAGTACACCACATTCTTACTGTAATTAGTCCTACAAGTGGATACAGATAGGTTTATCGATTGTCACCTACCACAGTTACTGACACTATAAAGAACCAGTGCAGTGATTTCAAAACCACAGGGAATTCTAGTCATAAGTGAACAATCCCATAATACATAGTTTATATCCTGTAAATTATGGGAATATTGCCATGACACAAAAAACCAAAGATAAGCTCAGAATAATCCCTGGAAGAGTATTGATGCTTGTGTAACTTTTGTATGTGAATTCTGTATTTCTAAACTATTGCAGTGATATATACCAAAATATGTTTCAAATTTACCAGAAAACCTGGGATTTTTTTCCTTTTTGTTAATGGTTTATGTTTGTTGCAGTATGGTTCAGTAGTGAATAAAAATTGTACATAACAAAAGAAAATGGAAAAATATATTTTATGGAGAACTCTTATTTTCAGACATATTTAACTTTTGTTATATTGTTACAGAAAAGCTGTAAATAAATAGTTATAGTGTAGTGTAAAAATCTGTTATTTGGGGGGAAATAATATTTGAATGTGGTGTTTTTTATTTTTTTAAATAAAACTTTGCCTGTTATGGCTTAATTGCACCTGAATTGCATGATGTTTAACTTCAGGATGTAATTTATTCAGGTTTGCACTAAAATGCTTAATTTCATAATAAAAGTGATTTTTTTCTTTCTTTCCCTTGGCAGTGGTGGGTAAGAGGTTGGAGGCCATGCATGCTATCTGGTACATTAAGAAGAGCACTATGTATAGAGTATGTCAACCTTTCTTATATTGACAGATAATTGTATTTGTAAAATCAAAGGGAATCTATCATATTTGCCAAAAAAGACAGTATTTTATACTTTTGATAAGATGTACTTTGTTAATTTTTTTGTTCATGTGATGATAAATTCTTTTAAATAAATTAATCTGGAGTTGAAATCTGTAGTCTCTTTTTCAAGTTAAGATGATCTAACTTGCCCCTCCTATTATGATTAAGCTGGATAATCTATGATAGTGTAAGAGAACTCAACTTTTGTTTAAAGAATTATGCTACTTAGAGTTCAGTCCCCTCTGCACTTGAGTTACAGCACAAAATGAGGCAGCAATCTTTTTCACCCCACATGGTACAACCTGCACGTCATCTAAATAGTCATTTCTGGTTGTCTGGATGAAGTATCAGAGAATGAGAGGGAAGAGGATTGGGCACCATTGGATATGGCATAAGCCATTGGTTCTACCCTTCTCCCCTCTCCATGTCCTGGCATGCTGCTTTTTCTCCTTTCAAAGACTGATTTATAACCTTGGAGAGGGAGCTACATAGTTCCTTCTGTGCCACCTGTGAAGGAGGGTGGAGCCAGGCATGGGCTTGGTGCTCAGAGTCCAACTTTGAGGTCATAGGATCTTAGAGGTGGGCTTCTGAATAATCTTGTGGGCCTGCAGACATTGGCAACCCAGTGTGGCATAGTGGTTAAGAGTGCTGGGCTTTGGAGATCTGAGTTGCAAAGCTACCTCACAGAAACTGAAGAGCTGTAGTTATTACCAAAATATTCTTGGCTAGGCTTTTGTGGTGATTTGGCACCTTAACCCAGTTCAGATGATCAAATTCTGGCTTAAGAAACCCCTTTGCTGCTACCTTTCATAAGAATACTCAGAGTCAAAATCATCCAGTACAGAGCATTAGAAACAAAAAAGGCAATCCCTGCCTTTGAAAATCACTGACACATTTGCTGGACAGGCTCTTGATCATTTCAGAAGTGTCAGGATGACTCCTATCTTGGCCTCTCCATTCTCCCTTATCCACTCATCAGAATGGCCTTTCCCCCCTTCTCTGATGTTGTGTTTCTAACCTCCAGGAGCAGCAAGCATCATTCCATATGTGCTGTTCTTGACCTTGGATCTGGGAATCTGCAATATCCTATGGCCTCTGATTCTGTTGGAAAAAAATGCAGTTAACTATATGTGAACCAGAAACTATGCTTATTCCGAACAAGAATTCTAAAAAAATACACTGTCCTGAATTCACTGTCCTATCTCTGGTGTCAGCCCAGTCACTCTGTTCATGTGAAAAGGCATCCTGCATGTTCAGCTGTAGAGAGGTAAAAGCTAGAGTTGCATATGCTCTCTGATTTCCAGTTTGATTTGGAGTCCCTAGGTCACATGATTAGTGAAAAGCGCATCACACAAGAGAGTTCTGCATGCAACACGTCTGCCCTTTCAATTGGGCACTGACTCCTGAAAGCATTCGAAAAGATGAAAGATTATGGGACTATAACTAGACTTAGATATGTTGCAGTGTTTGTGGGACCTATTTATTGGCACTCGTAGGAAGTACACCTGTACAGGTGTGTGAGAGTATATGCGTATGCATAATTTCTGCTCTCTAGCATTGTAGGCTGCAACAATGCCAGAGTGGAAATAAATACTGCAGTCAAATACATCCTTACTCAGAACTCACTTTCCTGGGGTAAACGGCAGTTCTGAGTAAAAATGTGTATGGCAGCAATATTTAACACCATTTAATAATGCTGGTTTTTTTAAACAAAACACTAAATCCCATTTCCCTGGGGTTGGCCCAAGATGATCAGATGTTAAAGCCTTTTATTAAGATGTTGTAGGTATCTAGCAATTGCTCTGACATGCAGAGATAATTACCTCTTCCCAATCTGCATATGGCAGGTCATAAACATGGTGTACATGTGACATGGCACAGCTGTTACAAGTCAACTAACTGCCTCTCCACTACATCCCATGAAACACGGAGTCATCAATGGTTAGCTGCATTGCAGGGTTGGTATAAGATGCTCTGTTTTAGCAACCTGCCATGTGGAGATAACAAAGGACTACTTTGCAGTTGCGTTCCTGTCAGCCTCCACTCCCTTGCAATATTTTTATGTGGAAAATAACAGTGGGTCAATATAACACTGGACTACATTACCAGAGTTGGTATAATCAGTTTGCTGTCGCGTCCTCAGCTTTCCCAGAATACGGGCATATAACTCGACCTTAACCATTCTTCCTAAATTTTGAGATTAGAACAGTGGACTCTTGCCTGGAAACATTGCGAAGCACTTTTTCTTGTATAATACACCTCGACCACATCCTCTATTGCCTTTTTTAAAGCACTGCCGCCAACACACTGCAAAAGTAAAGTGCTGCCCATTCTCTGTTATCTGCTATCAAAAGCTATAACCTTTTAATTACTCTAATGAGAAGTAGCCGCGACGTCAGTATCTCGAAAACCCCACTGCGCAAACCGAAAGAACTTCCCTCGCCCTCTAGAGGGCGCTCACTCGCAAACGAACTTAACGGTCGGGCGAATCACGGGGACATAGAGATTCCCTCAAAGGAGATAGCAAACTCTGCCGCTCGCGCCCTACCGGAAGTTGCTTCTTTATGTTTTCGTTGCCATAGGAAGTTGCTGTGCAAAGGGGCGAGCAAGATGAATGTGCGGAGAGGACTTACCTTCTTGAGCCGATTGTGGCAGGTAAGTGCAGCGTTGCCGGGGCATGGTTTGGTTTAGCCACCAAGAAGCGGGAACAAAGAACTGCCTAAAATACAGTTCCTGGATGGTGGCTGAGATCTGAAAAAACGGTAGCGCCATGTGGTAGTGTGGAATTCCATGTATGTTTAAGCATTTTTTTAAAATCCTACATCTCTCAGCATTCACCAGCCAGCCCGAGACTGTTTTCTGTCTAAACATGAATAGGATTGCACCCTTAGGTGCTGTCCCAGTCTCACTTGCCTGGGAGCGTGTCCCATGGATCCCCATTGCTGTGCGTCGGAATGGACGGTCAGAAGAGCGGGTGGAAAGTCCTGCTTTTAGTTGACTGAGGAGCAGCGTTCCCGAAATCAATTCAGTAGGCAGCGTGAAGGTTTTAGAACGCTGTTGGATTTTTCTTATCACACAGTTTGTAAAGGCATGGGAGCACTCTGAGCGCCAAAGTAGTAACCCTACTGGCGCCTGTTTAAGGACTTGTATATGCATCACATAGAGGGATGTGACAGTCTTCTGTGCCATCGCTGCCTGAAATAGGAAATTCCTGTCACCTCCTAAATCATCCATTCCTGTATGGGAGTTTTGACTTCTGTATCTTGCACTTCTGCACATACTGCGGTAACTACTGCTAAGATAGCAAAGGATTTGGCAAGCAGCTAGAAGAAACAGTGGGAAATTATGTGTTCATGGAAAAGCAAGTTATTCGTAAGGATAGATAAGCAGCAACTCACTTGCATCTGAAGGCAATATAGACCATATCCTATAAAGCGTTCAGGCACAAGCTTGCTTGAGTCATGTTGGAAATGGGGATTGTATACAGGCGAACCCAGCTGATGGAGAATTGCATATAACAAAAGATAATATAGTCTAGAATCAACTAAAGAGTCAGGCTTTAGATGTGTGTTGACTTTTGTGTTTTTTAACTTTACTCTTTCCTCCCACTTTTTTGTCTTCTGTTGTTTTAGACTATGAACTTGCATGCATGACTTTCTACGGTGGCATCCAATGTGGCTGTCATAACTCAGAGGATTATGGGCATCTAATTAGGTGCAGAAGTCCTGTGAAAGCCATAGATGGCTTTTACCTCAATTTGCAAGGAGGAAGTGCTGAGGCACCAGTGGGATTTCTCATATTCCAGCAAAGCCTTGCTCTTCTCCCTCCTGAATGCCCCCAAAGTAGCTCTTAAGTCACAAGTGCTACAACTATGCTAACTGTGAGGGTGGAGGGAGGATAGTGAAAGGGTAGATTCCTAGCCCAGTTTTAGAATGCATTTATGAGGGTCAGATCCAGGACTCCCAGCCATCCTGCGGCCACTAGATTTGCACCCTTTGACTATTTTTTTAAAAACTAATTTTTGAATACTGAAGTACCTCACCAACGATACCTCAATACAGCTGTCTTACTAAACCAACCATTTTAATTTTATTCTAGGGGCAACAGAATTTCCTTGTAAAAAGTGGAGTTCCTCATAAGCACCACCATTTTCTTCAGTAAGTTTACCTTTCACAGGAAAGTTTGTATCAGTGCAATCCTATATGTGCCTACTCAAAAGCAACTTATTGAATTCAATGAGCTTTACTTGCTCTCAGCTAAGTTTATATTAAATCTAAAATACTTGTGTTCATATCATTACAATGTCATCCTCTCATTCCTTTTCAGAAACAACCATTTGATATGGTTTCAGTTTTCAGGGGCTCACACTGATATTCAACAGCAAAAAGAGAATCCATTGGTATGTCTGAGAAGTGTTGAGATTGTTGTATAGTTTCAGTGAGTAAAAATATGTAGAAATATATCCTGTGGACTGGGATATGCATCGTTTTGTGTGTTTAAACAATGTCACAGTACCATATACCCCTTGAAGTCGCGGTACAGCATTCGTGGCCTCAGTCTTTCGCAGAATTTTCCGTCTGGCGGCTTGCTCACAAGGAGATCGTTTTCTCCGAGCGAGTCCAAACCGATCTCCTTGCAAGCAAGCCGCCCCTGCCTTGCCATGCGTGTGCTCGCCCCCCTGCCCGGCCCATGCCCCCTGCCCGCACCGCCTTGGCGGCCGGCGCCCGTTGCTGGTACCAAATTCACGGTTTTTCACAATTTGCAGGTGCTCTAGGAACGTAATCCCTGCGAATTTTGAGGGACTACTGTATAACAATGCTGCCAGTGTGGCATGTTGGTGGGAGCACTGAGCTGGGCTCAGGAGAGCTGGGCTCTAGTTCCAGCGCAGCCATGAAACTCACTTTGGGCCAGTCACAGACTTGCAGCCTAATCAGCCTCTCAGGGTTGTTTTTGTGGGGATAAAATGGAGAGGAGAACTATGTAAGCCACCTTGGGTTCCTTGCAAGAGGAAAAGTGGGGTATAAAGGTAATGTGGTAACGATGTAAGAGCTTAATTTCTGTATTGCATAACTGCATTCAGAATGAATAATTTACTCTAATGCTAACCTCAACAAACTGTGGTCAGGCTGATGTCCTTTGAAAAAAAATGCTGAATTGCTTATTTCTCTATCTTACCCACCTAGGTATCCGTTTCAGATGAGCCAGACACACTGTATAAGAGACTGGTGGTTTTGGTTAAAGGTCATGACAAAATGGTGTTGGACAGTTATGAATACTTCATGGTGCTTGCGGCAAAAGAACTTGGCGTCTCTATTGAAAAAATGTAAGCACTGTTGACCTTTGCAGTTATTTAGTCATTCTGGAATCTCCTCAAACAACCAAAGTAGCAGGGATTCTCCTTAGCTTTATTCTATGTTCTGAAATATAGTAGTACAATTTCCCTTCCTGGCAGAAAAAGATTCGATATAATGAATGATGGTAAGTTGTATTGAATTAAATGCACTGCATTTTCTGCAGTCAATAGCCAGAATGATATGATCTCCTCGCTTAAGCACCCCAATTCCAGCTTAGGTACAGGAACTTTCAGGTAATGTGTTTAGGAAGCCACATGAGGTCGCTTATGTAACTGGCAAATTTATGGGCCAGAAAGTTAAAACATTTTAACTGTTTTCTCTGTGAAATGTTTTCATATTGAGTAGTAGCTTAATGCTCCTTAAGGTAGAGATTACCTTGGATTCTATCCTATTCATGTTTATTCAAGAGTAATTTAAGTAATGCTTGGAATACAGCCATGCTGTCAGATAGCAAAGTGGGAATGCCACCTAGAGGCTTAGCTCAATTTATTCCTTCCTCCCTGCTGAACACCTCCATTATTGAAAAGGGGGGGCATTGGTAGCGATAATTTCAGAAATAAGCAGATATACTAAAACAACAGTGGTTTCTTGAAAATCTCTATCCCTTTTAGAGAAGTGCCTCCAAAGAAGATGGAACGATTCACACTTCTGAAATCAATACACATTCATAAGAAGCACAGAGTTCAGTATGAAATGAGGACACATTACCGACATATAGAGGTAAGTATATGTTCATATAAAAGAAAAGGTGTGTTTATGATTGTGTAAAGAGAAAAGTTTGATTTTGGAGAGAACAGTGCTGTCTGTGTACATACTTCCACCTTAAACACTGAACTTGTGGTAGGTGGTGACTAGTGTAATATTCTAACCAGACCACAACTGCTTTGACTTATTACTAAGATTACTCCTGAGGTAAGTAACTGCATGAAGGTACAACAGGGCTGTACAGGCTTGGTGGGGGGACCCCACAGTAAGCCAGACATGGCTAAATGATACAGGCAGTCTTCCATCAGAACACAGGTAATTAACTGGAAACTAAGACAATTTTTTTTGTTTCAGTTAAAGCATTTAACTGGCAGCACAGCCAATGTTTACTTGGAGTACATTCAGCGAAACTTACCTGAAGGGGTTGCCATGGAAGTAAAAAAGGTACTGGCTTAAGATTTTTCTTTAGTAAAAAAATGTCTGACTTTTAGCTCTAGTATTAATCAGCATTAATCAAATAGCAAAGGATTTCTGCCACTTAAGAGCCCATCTGCAGCTAAAGAATATGCTGGATTTTAGGGATATGATGGAGAAACATAGAAACAGAAACAGCGAGTCAGAAGGGGCCTCCTGGGCCATCTAGTTTGACTGCTGGCTCCAGCTAGTTCCAGTCAGATTTATATAGATAAAGATTACAGTACAAGAGCTGCAAAGTTTATGAACTCCTGTATTGTATATAAAATTGCTGTCATACATTTTCCTTTTTCAGACCAGATTAGAAAGTCTCCCTGAACATATTCAGAAGCCTGTTTGGGATACACTACCTCCAGTAGAAGAAACAACAAGTAAATCGTAAATGCCTTATCTGTATACTTCTTGCCTTTTAAGTTTTAATTAGCTATAACCTTGTCCTTTGGAAGGCAGGAGAGACCTGTGCTGATTTTGAAACTGGTCTGTAACAGACTAGCTTTTAAGGACCGTTTCTTGACCAAACAGCTATAAATGCATCTGTCAGAAGTTGGCTTATCAGTTTTGAAGAAATCAAGGAAAGCAAAAATCTGACAAAACTGTGTATCATTTGCTTGAACAATTTAAATAAACTTACTGTTCAGTGGTTGTTAAATGCTGAATATATTGAATGGTTACTTGTAATAATCAAACACACATGATTTGAAACTTTTAAGAGAGTACTTTAAAATGAATTTAAAAATTAAAATGAATACAAAGTTCATTAGGGCAAAGTTCCATCATTTGCACCCTTGATGATTGTAAGCCCCTGAACTTGGAGGCTTTATGATCACCCCCTGCTATTGTAGGACACTGTAAGTTAGACCATCCCACTGAAATACCCATTTTCCCCTCTTCTCCAAGGTAGTTTTTCTAGCTGGTGCAGTTTTTTTCATGTTGGGAGGGGAGAAGTAATTGTGTCAGATCTCTTATGCCCTTCTCCAGCATCTGCTCCTTTAGCAGATTATTGACAAGACTGTAGCGATCTGTAGTGAACTATCTGAATCTCAAGAACCTTTTCCAAAAGAATTTCTGGAATAGGTATTAACAAAAATTATCCTTTGTGGTAGGGTTCCTGTTAGAAGATTCATAGTATTCTACGTATCATTCTTTCATGTGCTGCTAAGGATTTTTGGATGAAGGGGGGGTTTGTTACTTGGAGAAGGCAAATGGAAACAGATATCCATGTGGCAAATTCACAGTAACCTGGTTTGCTGTTGAATCTGGGCTGACATGGTGTGTGAATATGGCTGTGTCAACATTAACTATTGCTAACCATGAACAAACCAGAAAAAGAATCTGTGGTTTAAGTTATGACTTCTGAATTGTTTAAATTATGGGTTGTTGTTACACACAAAGTAGGAACATTTTTGCCTTTTTCTCTCAACCGAGACTTATTTAACCTATTTATATCCTGCCTTTTTTCCTTTCGAGGAACTTAAGGCAGCTAACATCTCTCCTCTCAAGGTTATCCTCACAACAACCTTGTGAGGAAGGTTAGACTGAGAATCTGTGCCTGACCTGAAGTTACCCAGTGAGCTCCATGGCCGAGCGGAGACTTGAACCCAGATCTCGAGTCCCAGCCCAGCACTCTTAACCATCACACTACACTGGATCTCACTACACCACACCAACTTCCTTCTAATATCCTTCATGTACGTTCATGTATTTACAGTTCACAAGAACTATTCTTCCAAATTAGTTTCCCATCCATTTTTAAATAGTCATAGGCAGGGTTGGGATGAACCCTTTCAAAATCCATGGACTTCCCCTCGTGCTAAACTCAGTCCTGCAAGCCAAGCTGAAGTCCACAAACACTTATGGACCCCCAGTTGCAAACGCGGCAGCTTTCTCCACCAGGACAGGCTGCCGGATGCAAGAGAGGAACTGCGAGCGGGCGAGCCAGCTGCCATGACCTGCAGCCAAGCTTCTTTGCTGGCGCTGGCACAGTGAGCAGCTGTGCTGGCTGCCATTCCTGGTGGCCAGCCGCCTTCTTGCTTGCTACTGCCAGCAGCAGCAGTGGACATGGAATGGCTCTGCTTGTGCAGTGCACAGGACTCACTTCCTTGAACACTCGGCACACTTGCTATGAACTCAGACTCTGGGCTGCTGCAAATCCATCTGGTGTCCAGGAAGCCAAAACCAGGGTAGCAGATTTGTCGCACAAATGGATTCCTCGCACATCCCTAGTCACAAGGATATATATTTCTGCAGGCTATACTACTAGTTCAAGAAACACTTGGATATGTTCCAGTGGTTTCAGCAGCTTCAATGTAAATTCTTTGTAGATGTTTCCTTATCCATTTATTTCAGTATTATGTTTTTTAATTGCAGCCTTTACTTCTGTCTTAATCCTCTTTATTATCAATTGGACCTAAGTACTGCATCTGATATTTTTTCTTTATAGCTCTCATTTCAGGGCACATGGCTGCAAGGCAGCTTATGGACAATACCAAAACACATTGTTAGAATAAAGAAGCATATGCAAGTTATCTGACTTTTCCCATGGGACAGCTGATGGCCCTCATGTATATTGATAGAGTTGGGGTAGAGACAATCCTACTCAAACAGTAGTGGGCACCTGAAATTTTCTTCACCTGCCTCCCTTCCTTAATTGACAATGACCTCTAAGTATTTAATGTGTAAAACCTAGTTCAGTACTGCATGTTCTCATCTAATACATTGTTTGAAGATGCTAAATGCAATCTTCATTTAGCATCTTCAATATATTAACAATATATTAGTGTAGAATTAGTTTGTAACACAGTATTAGAGACAAGAACATTGTTTTCACCCAGGTAGGGATATTTTTTTGTAGAAGTTATGTCTTCCCTATAGTGCTTTGACCACCTAATGAGAAGGAAGGACTCACTGGAGAGCCTAATGCTGGGAACAAGTGAGGGCAAAAAAAGAAGGGGACGACAGAGGATGAGGTGGCTAGATGGAGTCACTGAAGCTGTTGGTGTGAGCTTAAGTGGATTCCAGGGGATGGTGGAGGACAAGAAGGCCTAGAGGAATGTTGTCCATGGGGTTGCAATGGGTTGGACACAACTTCGCAACTAACAACAATATAGTGCTGTTAGTTATTATCCACCAAGGGAGGGATCAAACTGGAATGTCGAGGTCAGCAGTGTCAGCTACTCAGAGAATTGGGGTTAAGGACTTGGCATTGTGAAATGGCCAAGTTGCTGGCATAGTAATCTTGAGTGGATTCTTTCTAAGCTATTGAGGACTTGCTTTTCTTCCCTTCCTCCTCAAGAGGAAGTGAGGACCAGGTGGTGCCAAAGAGCTTGTCTTAATTAGGGCAGCCCTGAGCAGATGCTAATCTCCCACATAGAGCTTACTAATAACCACAGGATGTTTTAAAAACAATCAAAAGCCTACGGAAATATTTCTAATCCAAGCACAAGCCAATCTGCTTCCCACATAAACACTGTTAATCATTTATTCTGCATTTTCCCACCAGTTCTCCCCTCACAGCAAGTTTCCAAAGTAGACAACACTATTCTTGATTTTCAGATATATGTCACCCTCAGTGTCACTTCAGTGCAATGCTATACATGTTTACTCAGGTATTCAATGTCTGAAGTTTGATCTGAAATCCAAATCCACAACTCCATAACACCAGAGTGGTCATCAATGTGTCTGGAAAAGATGTTTATGTTGCTATCTTATGCACTTGCCTATAAGTGAACATCAACTGACTTCTGAGTAAACATGCATAAGATTGCACTGTAGGCCAAGATTTTTCACTGCAAGATTTTTTTCACTGCAGAACCATCAGATAAACTGATATATTTAACAGTGAATTTTGAGGTATATATTTTACTAACACTGGGACTCTATCTTTGCTTCTAGCCCCAAGGGAACAAAATCACAAGTAACTAAAGCTTTTCTTTGTGTCAGCTGTCTCTTAGCAACTAGATTTGAGGTAACTAGGATACAGAAAAACTGCAACTGTAAGAGGAAAAAGAATACCACTCTGGTACAAGAAAAAATATGATATAGAAACTGTGCACTCTTATCTTAAAATCAAGGTGAATTACTGCCTACTTTGCCATCTATTTGTACTGCAAACTAACCATGTGACTAGGCCTAACGGAAACCACCAGGAAACCCATGAATTACCAGAGATTGCTATTTTGTGGCAGGGGTTACCATTGCTCCAAATCATATAGGTAGCGCTCTACAAAAAAATGAAGTATGCTGGACGTACAATCTCTCAGCAACAATCACAGCACTGGGATATTATTAGACAGGCCTATAACCTATGCCAGTTTTTCAGTTGCTCCTTTAGATTACAGCAAAGCTGTTTGAGAAAACAGCCTGAGTTTTTGTTCTTGCGTAAGCTGAAATGAATATAGCCATACACTTTCCATGCTCTTTTGCAGTGGTAGTTCAGCTCATGGAGTTTGTGCAGGAGCAATCTGTGGTCAATTCTGTTCATTTGCAAGTAAAATTACTTGGATGAATTAATCTAGATACCCAGAACAGCACTGGCCTGATGGCTTCCCTTCCTCAAAGGATACAGCATAGGAGAATGGTGTGTGTTACATATTGTTCACACTGCTGGTACAGTAAATACCACCAATACACAAAGTCACAGTAGTTGCTTTATTAATTTCTCATTTATTGCTACAAAGCTTTTTTCTTTATTAAAATGATGTTACCCTGGAATGACATTTATTACACCAGACAAGTCATTTCTTCCTCCCCGATTCAAGATTGGACTACTTTATGGAACTACTGTATTTCTCTCAAGCTTTGTCTTCCTGAAAATAGTGTTTGCAAAGTTATGAAAAAGGTAGCACAGTCCATGAGAAAGTTTCTCTGTAGAGACCCTACTGAAGTAGCATCTGTGCATCCCCATTAAAGACAGAAGACTATCAATATGTGTTCAGCCTGACAGCAGAGGCCTGCATCTCTCGCGGCACACTGGGACAAATGGGGAGGCAAGGCATCGCCACACTCTGCTTTGTTGATATCCAGGTGCATTAGACTAGCAGCCTTGAAAATGATGTCTACTCTGGCAAAGCAATTAGAATCTCCCGATCGTAATGGAGACAGAAATACATCACCCATTTTATACCTTAGCATACCCTGCTACTACACATAAATTGGACCACAACTGTCATATAAAAGGGGAACTGCCAGTCTCCATTATAGACCACCATGATGAGAAAGCAGTCTTTCACTTCAACCCTTGATTTCTCTTCTAGTATCTGGAAATAAAATGACACTGCAAGACTGTGTGTTTACTTAAAAGTAAGCACTCTAGAGTTCAGAGGGGCTTATTCACATGTAGGTATAGTATTACCTCCTTACCTATTGTGGCATATATTTGCATGTAACAGATGGGAGAATAGGGGCCCATTTTCCAAAACTTTGCAGTGACATTTGTACCTTATCTCAGAAGTAGCCACCTTAACTTTCACATGCTGTAATAAAACAGTTTCCACTTCCTCAAAGAATGTAGTATTGTATTTAAGCCTTTATATTTTAAATCGTGCAGTAGTGATAACAGCATTTCCTCTGGGGGACAAGCAAGTGCAGACTTAGGCCTGGTTCACATTTAATGAAAACCTGAGTGTGGATTGTTGAGTGTGGACCCTGCACTATGGATTTAACTAATCACAGACAATCCAGCGTTCATAACCAAACAAGAATACATGGGGCATATTCCTGGGTTGTTCATAATTAAGAGTTAACCCATAATGCAGGGTTTACACATAATGACAATGTTGAATGATACAATTCAACAACAATCTATGCTTAGTGTTCTGGTTCTGTGCAAACTTGAACTTTTGTGCCACAGCACAAAACAGAGCAGCCTCCAAATATATATCACCAAATGAAGATCCCTATGTAAGTTACATACTAGAGTAAAACTCCTGTAACCATTGCTCAAGTTTGGAAGTGACAGAACACGTGGGAATGATAATTTATACCAGAACAAACCATTATCTGCATGATCACATTTATACAGAAACTATCCAAAATACATGTTGGTATGAAGAATAATTACTCTGAATGACTAAAGGAGAAGTTTATAACCCAGCTATGAACAAATACCCTAGAACTAGGTTTTGGATCTCATTTACCAGAGTGGCTTGGCAGAGAGAGCCAAAGCCATCAAAATGATCTCTTTGGCCAATACTTTACTTCCTGTTTTGCTATGTTATAACCTGCTGGATTTCTTATTCTAGGAAAGGGAGTTGTCTTATTCTAAGCCAGACCCTTGGTCATTCTTGCCCAGCATCCTCAACTCTGGACACAGCTTACGTGTTTCCATTTTGCATTTGTGAGCAATTTTGCCTTTGGTGTCTTATTTTGTTGAACGCTAACCTTGACAGAAAGGCAAGTCCAAAAAAATTTAATAAAGTGACACGCTATGACAAGTACTGAGGTATCTTAAATTTTTAAAGGAGAACATGAAAACACATTCTTTATTGTGTTTATATTGAAAGAGACTCAGCATAGCTGACTCCCACAATACAATCATACTCCAATGGGGTATCAGGAACAGAAATAGTACAGGGTTAAAGCCAAACCAAGTTAGCTAAATTTAGTAACAACTTAAGTTCTTCTCACTGGGACCTTATTTCTACTGGATCTAACATACACTTTTAAGATTATTCAGGCAGCATTTTGTTCCCATCTGTGGCCTGTCTTTGGCCGCCACTTACTAAGGAACAGTTTCCTTGAGGGCCTCAGAGTGGAAGTTGTGCCAAGCAGGGGTTCATGACAGGGACAGGCCTTCTTAAAATATGTATCAATAATGTCACCAATATAAAGATCGTATTTTCATTCTTCCAGTTTGCACTGGAGCACCATTATATTTTATTTATTGCTCTTTTATATACACTCTGAAGTTCTTAACTTGGTAAGATTCAATGCAAAAAGGGTAACCATAAAAAGAGGGGTCATACAAGCTCATTTGGCTGAAAAGCAACCCTACTGCATCACATGAAATGCAGAACTCAAAACAATGAAATGGAACCAGAGGTAGACACCACTCTAAGTTGTCTCGAATTTGGCTAACGTTCCTGTCAATCTGGCTCTTCCCTAAAGCAATGCAAAATAAAAGCTATGAAAAGCACTTCCGCAACCATAGCACTGAAAAGGAAAAAAAGGCGAACAGGCTGATAAAAGGGGCTGAATAAGGAATGCAGGTGTCTGTCAAAACCGTTTACTTGCGCGCGCGCGCGTGTGTGTGTATATATATATATATATGAGATGGCTGCAGCAAGCTTAATATGCTAGAGCAAGCAATGAATGCTAATTCCTTATGAACATTTGTACATATTTAGCTTTAAAAATTAAAGAAAAATCAGATAAAAAGTTTGGGTAACTTGCTACTTTATTTTAAATTTCACACAGTACCGTCCTCTAGATTACAGTGAAAGAAAAAATTAAGTTAATTGCCGTATTACAGTTCAAATGTGTTTGCATTAGTTTTTTCTCTTGGGTTAGTTTTCCTTATAGCAATATGCAATATCTTGCTATTAAATATATAGCATGGTATTAATTTATTGGTTAATGCCAAGACAGCCAGCAGTCCTTCACTGCTCTGGTACTATTTCTTCAGCAACTGGTACAAGAGTGTAGGAGAACTGACATAATAATCTTTTTCTTCTTGCACTTTTGAGAGCAGCCAAAGAACACTCAAGAGACACCTGCTGCCATTGTTCATTTTATCTGGGGATAGGCCGCAGTTCTGTGGTCTTTGCATCATGGGCATCAGGTTCAATGTCTGACAGCCCAGGAAAAAGGGGTCTTAGACAGCAGGGCCGAAGAACAGCTGTCTCTGCTGAGACTTTGGAAAACTGCTGTGAATCAGAACAGAATACTGGGCCAGACTGACCAATGGCTGGAGGCATCAGATGTTTAAAAAAATACAGTGCTTTTGATCCACAGAAGAGCAAGCAGAACTTGCACAGCAAGCTTCCCTGGTTCCTTTCTTCCACTGCAGCCTCACCCAGCACAGCCAAGACAATGCTGGATAAAGGCAGGTCCCCAGCCACAGGAATAGAACTCCTTTTTAGGCCTTGTCCTCCAGCACAGTAAGGCTGGACCTAAGTTGGTGTGGGAAGGGCCTGTGTGCCAGGCCTCATACTCTGCGTAATGTACTAATGTACCCTGTTCAGGTTTAATATCTGAATAGGCTTTATGCACTGTTCAATGAGGAAACACGGATCCAAATAAAGCTAACGGGGGGGCGGGGGGGAATACTCGCCATAGGAGCACTGTACTGTGATTTAGCATGCACTGCACCCAGATACAGCTACTTCTGCTTCACACAGACACACCATTCTGTGAGGTTATTTCTGGCTATAACTGCATGGTAGAGATCTGACTAAAACCCAGCCTTATGAATATGCTAGACACATGCCTGGTTCACCCACTACCAGTGTACTTGACCGCCCAGTTCCTGGAACTGAACTTGTCGTGAATCCAGGCAGACAACTGGGATCCATCATGAGGCATCTGCAAACCCTGAACCAATCCCTTGAGCAGAACAATATCAAGACTGTGCTATGTGCGCGCATGTGCATTTCAAACATGAATAGAAGTCAGATGAATGTCCGCTTTGCCTAAGGAAAAAGAAAGTAAGCAGGGGGAGGAGAATGTTTTAAATACTCTCTCACCTTCAATAAGGCCTTGATGAAAGCTCTCCCAAAGGTCTGCATGTCATCTCTCACTGGCCTCAAAGGGTGACTATGTTACCCTTCAGAAGATAATAACAGCATCATTCTTTTACCATTGGGCATCATGAGAACTATTAATCAATTTATTTCATTTTTTGTGTTTTTTTAAGTTACCATTTAATACTATGCTTTAAGCTAACACAGGCTTGGTCATAATAGTCATGCTTACATTAGAGCAGAACGACTGAACTTAACAAGATTTAAATGGGTAATGACTGAATAAGATCTCATTGATTTCAAGGGGACTTCTCTAGGAACTCAAAATTATAAACAAAACATTGCTTTAATAAGGATTTAACTAGGTTTTAGTACTGAATAAGTCTATTCTGATACCCATATTATACACAGCAGAAAATTTTCACTTTACAAGCTCACAATGCAAAGGTTAAACATTAGCTTTTGGAATTAAGGGTGGTGAAAATCTGAACAAGTACCAACCCAAGTCCTATCTTTTTTTTTAAACCAAGGCTCAAGTTAGTATCTTGTTCACCTATCAAATAACTGGAAGCCAAATATAAGGGTAGAATGAACATATGTATATGGGCTTTCATACCTCCATTTATCCTTTTCATTTTATTTTACTTTGGACCCAATGTAGCGAATGCTCAAGTTAAAAAGTCCCAATTGCACCAGACTGGTAAAAAAACAACAACCCCAAACTTTTAATTCAGCCCTCAGCACAAATGAATGCAGAATGTATTAAGAAATTAAGTAATTTACAGACTGTGATCATCCTTGACATTAAACAGCACTGCTTCAAAACTTTACAGTTTTATCTGTCATTTCAGTAACATAGTACCTGCATGCTCCACTTTTTGTAAGTTTTTCCAGTGCCACAGAACAAAATGAAATCTAAAATGATGCAATGTACAGCCATCTATAATTACAACAGTATGTACACTGTAGATTTTAACATATCCATTAATCTTAAGTTGCAGATAATATCACCAGCTGCAATTATACAATTGGTAAAATGTTCAGCTATTACATTTATGTATAGGACTAGAAATGTAAACATGAAGGTCAAGCTGTGTATGAAGGATTACTAAACATTAAAACAGGCGCCATAAACTTTCGCTCATTTATAAAAACTCTTTTCTTTTTAAATTAACAAATTCTCTTTTCTTTTTAAATTAACACTCTCAGCTCATTTTATCCATTACATTTTATGCATTGGTTACATTTCCAGACATCAGACAGAATAGTTGCCTTGCAGCAAGATGTTTCATTTTCAGTATTTACTGTCACCAAATGTTATGTGCAATTGAAACAAGAGTTCACAAGATATAGAGTATATGAAATACAAGGTACTAAAGCAGATTGAGAACTAGACTAATAATGCTGCACACATGTTAAATATATATGGTGTGAATATTAAATTAAAAGCTTGACCTATTGTTAGGAGCTGATTTTTAACTTGTGCAGATGCCAAGTGTCTACAAATTCCAGACTTTGAAAATGACTCTGCTTCAAACTGTCCAAGGAGTCACAGGTCTTTAGGGTACATTTAAAAATATATGGCTTTTACCAACTTGGTGCATAAGGGCTGTTGGAAAAATATGTATGTCAGAGTTCTATTAATTTTCTTTGCCATCTTTAATGCTTTACAGGCAGTTCTTAGTCTAGCCATTTCAAATGGTCTTAAGGTAAGAAGCAAGCATCCCTGTTACTCAATTTAAAGAATAAGCCTCTTTAATAGTGTCTGCCACCTGGCGGCCCAGGCCATCTCTGGCCCCGTCCAGGTGGCGGAGGGGCTGGTGCACCAGGTCCATTGAGAAAGCTGTATAAAAGGATAAAAATAATAATTGCATTTTTCCCTCCTTCTCACAAGGTATTTTTAAAATAACACACTTAAAATATAACACATAACTATTTGGAATATGCTTTCACCATGCATATTTTAAAGGCTTCCAAGGTGAGAAAAACATTATGCTAGGATTAAGATCTGTGTTTTTTTTTAGTCTGTATGATGGCTTTTAATTTAACTTCCTCAAGTTTTAATGAATTTTCTGTAAATATCATTAATGTGGGAAATAAAATGTTCTTAAAAAGGAAAAATGGAAAGAAACGTCCTTACCCTCTTGGAGGTGGAAACTGGCCTCGTGGCCATGGAAGCATTCCTCTAGCTCTGGGGGGAGGAGGCCTGCCCCTGAAGCCCATTAAACCAGGTGGTGGTGGAGAAAGAGGAGGGAGAGGAACCCCATATCTGCACAGACAGATGTAACTCTTGTCATCACTAGGTCCTGCTTCAGAGAGAATTTTCTGCCATTTATAACTGGGTGTAGAAATCCCATTGTGCTGTGGATACATTTTGAATATATAGAACAATATACTAATCACTGCAGCTAATCTCACACAATTTCTGGAATTACACAATTCAGTAAATGCAAATTTGGGGAAAGCATTTCCCTAAATGGAAATGCGCTCAGATTGCAGGACACTGTTTAAGGGCACAGCCCATTGGATTCTCCCCTTGAGGATCATAAGACTCCAAGCTGGAGGCCTGCAAACATCCTGTGCAAAGAGGGGTGGCAGCAGAAGGTATATTTGCCTCTCTGCTGCTCTTTATTTTTGCTAGATGGCTGTTTTCATCTGTCCAGCTTTGGAAGAGGAAAGAAGGAGGCTGCAAAGGACACAAGATACGTTATTCCTGGCCTAAGCAGCTTCCCATCCTCCCTGAGGTTGAACTCTCATCTTTGACGAGGCAGCCAGCTTGGTTCTTTCCTTACCCGCTGGGAATGTGGGGGAAGAAGCAGATTTGACAGTGAATTCTCAGCTCCAAAGTCTGAGTTACATTACTGGCTTTGGACATAAGAATCAGAAGCATATTCCCCCACTATTTGATACCTAGGGGTGCATTCCCTAAAGTATGTCCAGTATCACTGAATAAAATGAAAAAGTTTAAGCAATGGATGTGCTAAAGCATTCTGCTGTTAAGCACTCCGGGTCACCTAGGTGGAGAAGAGGAAAGGGGTGGAATGTGAAAAATCTGAAGCTTGAATGTGCTGTGCTGAATTATGGTTTGGCATAACATACAAATGTGGCCTGTACTTCAAAGTTTTTAAATCTGATCAGGACTGTCCTGAGGTAAAATTTACTACACCCAAACTTTCTGAGATGGCATTCCTGACAGTGAATCACACCCAGCTCAGGGCTGTTTTGCCTGCTTAAGATTTCAAAAGACACTAATTGCAATGTGGCCTCCCCAGTGGAAAATCTCCCATCACAGATCCTGTGACATTCTATCTCTTTACAATGTTGTGTGCAAAAACTTCCATACATGGTCTGTTTAAAATTTTCCCAAATATTTTTTTAAATAAGCAAGAGAGAAGGAAGAGAGAGATCATGCTTCTCACAGTAGCTGCATTTGTCAAATTACTCAAATGGTTTACACACTTAGGCAAACTGTGACTTTACCTATTTTGGGCACTGTTCTTGGGGAACAAACATTCCTAACTCTCTCTAGCCCCTGTCAAACACAAACTTTGAACAAGACAGAAACCTTCTGAGTAAGAGCCACAGTGGGGTGAACCAACCGACACCACGGCCCTTTAAATATATCTGCACTGACATCCTCAATACTAACCGTGGTGGTGGAGGCAGAAAAGGCATTCTCATCATTCCTCTTACGGGTGGAAATGGTGGAAAAAACGGTCCCCCTCGTACTCCTCTTTGACCTCTTGCATCTGGATATGGGCGCATTCTTCCCATTCCACGTCTACAAAAAACAATCTACCAATTCAGTATCTAAAGGCTATGAACATCTCAGCAGAGCTTAACAGAGAGGCAAAGCAGCTAGAACTTTTTCTATATAGAGGCACAATAGGTATCTAATTAATCAAATTCTACTAAGCTGTGCAAGAGTATTAAGGTGAAAGATTTAGAACAGATAGACACACTGCTAGCTAATAAAAATGTTCAGCTTGTGAAAATAATAACAGTGAATTAGTTGCAACAGCCAATCATTTGCAGAATTTACCCATAGATACTTGTACAAATTGCTCCTTCAGTAACCTTGTATCTCCTCAATATTTATGTACAATATTCATGCACTGTGAGAAGTCAACAATTTCAAGCATAAATTGTATTACAGAAAATGAGTTTTTGCCCATTTATATTCAAATATCATTGTAACACACCATCCAAAACAACAAAAGGAGAGAAAACATAGAAAGCACCCCTGAAGCCATCACATCTCTATTGACATGTTGACCTTGTGATTTTTTTTAAACTTAGAATTCTAATGCACAAAGAACTGCACTATTTCAATAGGAACACAGACCCACATTTCTCTCCTTTTGAAGTCTGCAAAACTAGGGCAAGCATGCATTTTAATTGCAACTGTGCATATTAAAACTTTGCCAATTAGGAAGACATTAAGGGTGCCATCCAATGTGGCTTCCTGTAACCCTCCAAACTCAGAGGATTATGGGCATCCAGTTGAGTGTGGGAGAAGCACAAAGGCAAGGATTGCCTTCGCTCTTCTCCTGCCTTGAAAAGGCAAAGACAACCAATTTTAGCCATCAATGTCTTTTGCCCCTGCTCAGGAGGGGGGCCTGAGCTACTCCTATAATTCCCGGTATCCCAGCAGAGTCTCAGTCTTTCTACCCCTCACTGTACACCAGCTCTGACAACACAGCTCCAACCTTGGGACACTTTTCTAACATCAGATTTGGACTCCAACCTATCCTCTGGCAACCTGGGCAACATCTAGCAGTCACAGGAGTGTGTCCTGAAAGCTTCTATTTTGTTACAAGCAGATCTCTGTAATAAAAAGAGACTGGTGTCAGAGAAGTAGACAGCACAAACAGCAACTTATATCGCAAGAATTACCTTATAGGTCCAAAACCATTGAGTGTTCTACCTCGCATTTTCCCTATAGAGTATCCTCTGCCACCTCGGCCTCTTCCCCGACCGCGTGGTCCTCTGGACATAACAAAAGGAAACATATGAAACTCAGGCACTTCTGCTTAAGGAACCAATTAATACGGCGATTTTTGCTATGCAGCTTAGCATAATCTGGTTGTAGTGATACTTGACTACTCTTCACCTAGAGGATTATACAGTGGTACCCTGGCTCACAAATGCTTCAGTTCACAGCCAAATTGGGTCGCAAACAGAAATATCATAAAATTTTTGCCCCAAATCACAAACTCTGCATCGGGTTATGATCAGGAGCCGCCCGCCTTCCCTGCACAGGCGACATCACAGTCATGCGGGGGGGGGGGGGGAATGGCCTCGTTCGTCCTGAGGGGAGATGACTGCAATTGCGCCCGTGTTCCCTGCCTGAGTGCGCCCACACCTGAGCCCGCCTCCCCCCCAGCACGCCCACGCCTGTGCCCGCCTACCCCCAGCACACCCGCACCTGCCTCCCCCAGCGTGCCCACACCTGCACCCACCTACCCCCCAGCACACCCGTGATCGTGCCCATCCCCCCCCCGCACAATCACTGGTGGGGGGATGGCCACGATCTTTGTTGTTCTTTGTCACTTTGCTACAAATTTTTGTGATTAAAAAAAAAATAGTTGCAGAACGGATTAACCCTATTTACATTGACCCTTCTGGGGAAATTTGACTTGGCTCACAACCAGAGTCCTGGAACGGATTAAGTTCATGAGCCAAGCAAGGTACCACTGTACTTGAAATCCCTGGATTCAATGCTAGCTCAGTACCAAGCTATACAAGATGGCAGAGATCCATGAGCAGATCTTCCAATGACATTCCTTTTTACTTTAAAGCATCCAATGTGTGTTTTTATGCAAAAATCTGAATGGAAAAACATTTTAAACTTGAAATTTAAACTTCACCACATATATTGAAAATACCAATATTCTACCTACAAGACACTCCTATCTGAAACAATAAAATTAAACATTTCAAAAAACCATGTTTAAAGGCACAATACTATGTAAATTTATATAAAGCAGAAACCTACACCTTCCAACATGCCCCAGCCACCTTGCATAGGACTGTACCCTAAGTGTACAATCCTATGTCCCATATCTTTGATGTACATAAGTCTCTGAACATGGAGGTTCACGAACATCTTATGGGTAGAATTAGACACAGCAGTTGTAATCTCTGCTATCACTGCATCTTGTGCTGGATATTTTACCCAGATGACCATTTCCAGCAACCTTCATAAAGCACTGGGGAGAGAGAGGGAAGGAGGCTAGAATGCTGATAGGGGCTGTCATACATCTTTTCCCCCACCTTTCCCCTTCTGAGGCCAAGTTGTAACCCCAGGAGGAATGAGTCAATGTGTTTCTTTCTGTACTGGCTGCACATGGAGCAGCACAGGAGCTCAACTTCTGGCATCTCAGCTCTGTGACTGCAGATCTTTAAGCTGGGGTTCTGAAAAATCCTATGGCCTTCCAGATGATATTGTGAGGCCATAGGATCAAGCCCTAAGAAGGTGATCACGCACTTTGTATTCTACTGTATTAACCAGAATAGCAAATTAGAAATGGTGTCTCACTTTTTCTTAGCTTCAGTCACTTCTATGTTTTCTGGAGCAGATTCAGGCTGATCCATTAGGACTCCAGCTTCTTCTTCCATCTATTATAAAAAGACAAACAGTTTAATCCTTTAGATTTATGAAGAAATTCTCCCCACATCTAGTTTTGGCCATTCCTTAGCATGGTATTAAAAATATAAACTAGATACTAATGATTAAATATCACTTTACTGACACAAAGAAAAATGTTGGAATATGCCTGCTATGTTGTCTATGCAGTCTTTGCACCATGTTTCAAATAAACATTACTCAAATAGTCCACACTACTCTTTACTGTATTTTATTTGTTTTTATGTTATGTTTTAATTGAGATTTTATTTTTATTCTGAATTTAACCATTAGCCTCCCTGGCTACCATTCTTTGCCGGAAAGGTGAAATATAAATACTGCATAAATAACCCACACCAGTGTAATATGGTGGTATAGTAGTTAACACGGGACTGGGAGTTAGGAGATCCAAGTTCTAGTCCCTGTTCAGTCATGGAGCCCATTGGATGACTTTGGGCCAGTCAAAGACTCTCAGCCCAACCTAACTCACAAGGGGAGTTTACAGTCCCTTTCTCTCTCTACACACAAGGGGTAGGTTGGGCTTTGGGGATAAGAGTGAGAGCAAGTGGAAGAGAATTATGTAAGCCTCTTTGAGTTCACTGTAAGAAAAAAAGCTGGGATATGCATCTACATTAAATACATAAAATAAAATAAATGTCTTGGCTGCTGAGAAGAGGGACCTGCATGGGTATGAGAGTCAGTTCAGTGAATATGCCAGGTAGGCTTACATGAACACTGTTGGCAACAGTGAATCAGAGAACATGAAAGGGTTTAATCCATCAAGAATAAGGCAAATGTCAAACTTCTTTACTAATGAAATCTTCTCCCCTTGCTGTTAGGTACTGTTCACAGATCACTCAGATGGTAAAACTGACAAAAATAATAAAAGTATGAGGGGGTAGACAGGCATATGATGTACTGGTTAGCAAATGGAGTGCATTATTATGGGAAGGAAGTCAGTGTGTAGCCACAAAACCTTATTAAACCACCCATCTAATCTATTTTATTTTAAATTAATTGAAACACATCTTATAGGATTTATTGAAATTTGTTATCAAAGTTTAAAATAAAATAGAAGTGTGATATAGCATACATTGTGTTGTATATTGTAATTATACCTTTTGCCCAGCTTGCTCTAAATATCTAATAAATGTTTAAAATAACGGCACATATTAACATATGTCTACCCATACAGCTTACTCACAGGTAAACTCCTTATACATCTTTAGACATAAGTCCTGCAATTCTGGCATGCCCCAAGCAGCCATTTTGGCTGGGGCATGCTGGGAACTGTTGGCTTTTTACTTTTTGTAGGATTGCATCCTAAATTAAATATTAAACAGATGCTCATGAAATTCAAATTATTTCAGTTGTAGTAAATAGTAGCAGAAGAGGGAAACACGAAGATATAAAAGGATACAGAGAGGAATATATTAATGGAGAAAAGAGGGCTGGGTTCCCCTTCTAGTGCTGGACTGGAGAAGTTCAGGTTTTAATCCCCAGTGGTCCATGAAGCTCACTGGGACACTTTAGGCCAGTCACTCAGTCTAACCTACCTCTCAGGATTGTTGATTTGAGTAGTAAATGAAGTGGAAATCTATGTAATCCAACTTGGGTTCCCTGCAATTGGAGAAAAGGTGGTATATAAATGTAGCCTAATAAAATTAGAGAGACTGGTTTCCCCTTCTATGAAACATACAAATGCATTTAGAATAAAAGTGTAAGGGTCCACAAATGGAACCCTCTACTAATGGAACAGTCACAGTCTGTTCTCGGCATTCCACTGCCAGAGTGGAGTTTACAGTCCCTTTCTCACTCTACACAAATGCCTAGGAGTTAAGGCAGCCGATAAAGCAGATCCCAGTCCATAAACACTACTTACATACAGTCATAAGCCTGAAGTTTTTAATGTGCCACAAGTCTAATGCAATCCTTTACATACCAAGGAAAGCTCCAATGAGTTGAACTACGCCTAATCCCAAGTACAGCACTGCAGCCTTACTTCTGTATTATCTACAATAAAAGCCCCACTGAGTGCAATGTGATTTACGTCCAGGTAGGTGTGTATACAAGAAGGCGGCAGTCTTCACTGCCTAAGACTGGGCTTTTGATACCCGAGCATGGAAATGAATAATAGAGGAGCCACTGAAACCTTCTCCAGCCAAGGGAAAAGAAAGGCTGCTGGAAGTTGCAGTCGGACACAAGTGGAGAACTTCAGGTTGCAGGAAGCCGGGGAACCGCCTGCGCGCGCTACTTCAAGAGTTCCATTGGGAGCAGAATCTGGCCACGACCCGGGCTGGGTTAGAGGGACCTTTTAGCCTCACCCAGCAAGGCAAGTCCTACATGCTGAAAGTGTAAGAAAAACAATCGAAACCCTGAGGCGGCGAGGACTTACCACTCAGCCCTTGCGAACGGAGCCCGCGCCCTGCCAGAAATAACGCCCCAGCCCCGCTGAAGGGTGGGAGGAGAAACACCAACTTTCCCTTCTCCAGGCTCAGCCCACAAACAAAACCCACTTCAAAATGGCGCCGCGGCAGATCCCCACGAGGGAGTGGGAGGCCACGCCCACTCGGGAAAATGGGCGGGGCTGGCTTGCTGGCGGCCGGCGCTCTTCATTCCATGGCGCCCGGACGGGCTGCGACCAGATTGCCCCTAGAAAGCGGGAACTGGTCGCCCCAGAGGCCCTAAACCTGTTTACTCAGAAGGCAGCCCACTGAGTTACTTCCAGTCGTGCAAAAGATTGCCACCTACCAGTAAGCACATGCTCTCCAGATGTTCAGGACTACAATTCCCAGAGCCCCCTCCACAAACACCATACTGGCTAAGGCTTAGGGGAATTGTAGTTCAAAATATTTAGAAGGCACTTAGGTTCGGCTTTAAGGCTGCCATCCGGGAGCACATTCTATCGGGAGTAAATCCTATTAAACTCAGTGAGACTTACTGAGAGCAAAAACATCCAAGAGTCTTCTTCCATCTTAAAAAGGAACAAATTAATCATGGCACAAGCTTTCTTGTCAGGATAGCTTTTGGATGCTCCAGATTATTAAGGATGCATCCATAAGGGAATACATATTTTGTCACTCTTCCATCATTATTGTCAAAATTTTATTCTGATTTCCTCCAACACAATACATGTATTTAATTAATTGTTTCTTAAACTCTATTAATACTCGAATCTATTTAAAGTAACAGAGGGCATCTCATTAGAAACCTGGTATTTCTTCTCAGGAATTGCAGCGCGATCCTAGACACATTTAAGTGCAATCCTATGTTTGCTTAGGAAAAAAAGTTGTAGGACTTTTTTCCGGTTAAACACGCATAGCAGTGCACCCATATCGAGATGAAGCGTCGCGTTCCAATGGGTTCACGAGTATTTGCTCCCAAATGCTCTCTAGCCTGGATTATTGTTACAGGATTGTGCAGATATCAGGGGGAAGTTGCCTCGAAATGTACTGGTAAGAAGAATCTCATTGGATCAGACCAGATGCCCTGCTTCAGAGCAACCCTAGTCCGTTTACCTGAAAGTAGATCTCATTGTATTCGGTGCTTACTTCCAGGTAAGCGTGCGTATGCTTGAGGCTTTAGGATAGGATACACTTACCTGGAGTAATTTATTTACTTTTTATTTATTACATTTATATGCCGGCCCAAAGCCCAAGTGGATGGCTTACAACAGAACAACGATAAAACAACAAAAAAACCAGAAGCCCTATAGAACACAACCAAACTTACTTCAGATAAAAACAAGTAAGATTGCACCGTTAGTGAAGAATCCAGATTCCCAGGTGGCCAGCCAGGCACAGTGAAGAGCAGTACAAAGAATTAAAAAATACTTATGCGGGCACTCAGTCTCTTAGAACACTATGATGTCTGTTCTTATCTTATCTAAAGGGTTGCCACTTTTTCTCCAAGCGCAAATGGTTAAAATAAAGCACTACTACTACTGCAGGCTAGCAATCAACATACCTGCCACAAACCCACAACACACGCTGCAGACTAAGCTGCGCTTGCTGTCGCAAAACGGAAGGCAGCGGCCAGCCGTCAAGCAGCGGGGAGGGAATGCATGTGGTTGTCGGGTCGGAAGCTTGGCAGCATGGGGAAGAGGAAGGCCCGGCAGCAGGAGCAGCTGCTGATCGGCAGCTTGAGCAAGAAGCAGAAGAAGCACCTGAAGGATTTCGGGGAGGAGCACCCCTTCTATGATCGGTGAGTCGCGGGTCTTAGTGGATCCTGAGCGGATAATTGGAATTGCGGATAAGGGTATCCATTCCTGTAGGGCAGCCTTCCGCCAGTCCGGTGACCCCCGGCCGGGAATGATGGGAGCAGTAGTCCAAGACCTCTGGATGGCAGCGAGTTTTGGGGGAAGCTGCTCTGCATGTCTTTTTTCTCCTCTCCTGCCTTTTGGTGCATGTATAGTTGAATAATCAGGCTGACTGTACATGATTGCATTGCATGTATGATCAGTAAAACAAGTCAGTCTCTGTTCACAGGTTTATAATCTAAAAAGGAAAGACACACAAGAAAGAAGGGTTGAGAAAGGAAGGGAGGAAATTAAGTAGTCTTTCAGCAGGGCTGGTGGAATGGCTCTGCCTCCCCTAATGACTCATGGTGATGACAGTTGAGGTTTTATTGAGCTAATGTTGCTCACATACATACAAGGTCTCTGCTTATCACTTCTATAAGCATTTGATGTTATGTGTTACCAAATCATCTTTGAATTATGATAACCCTATGAATAGATGGCCTGTTCTGAAATGACCTGTTCCTGACAGCCCTGCTCAGCTTTTGTAAACTCAGGGCTGTGACTTTCTTTGTGGAACTGATCTGTCCCATATTTGGCCTTCATATTCTTCCTGTGCCTTCCACTTTCCCTAGCATTATCATCTTCTTTAGTGACACTTGCCTTTTCATGATGTGCCTGAAATAGGACAACCTTAGTTTTGTAAATTTTGCTTCCAGGAAAGTTCTGGCTTGGTTTGCTCTAGGACTGATTTGCTCATCTTTCTGTCTGTCCCATGTATTTATAAATATCTCCTTTAGCACTATATTCTGAACACATAAAATTTCTCCCTCTCAGCTTTCTTCATTGTCCATATATAGTTATAGTGCTTCAAAAATCATAAAGCCACTTTAACCATGAACAATAATATGGCATAAGAGTAGTATGCCAGCTCAGCCCTGTTAGCCCAGTCCTAAAAATTCTGAGCAAGGAGTAAGCCTTTTCGAGTTTAGTGGGACCTACGTCTGAGCAAACATACTTAGGAATGTAGTGTTAAAAATACGATCTGTTTATGGATTAGATGTATTCTCAGGGCCTTTTTCTTCCAAGTTATTCCATGCTGGATTTACTTGCTGATGTATTAGGCCCCTCTCGGATGCACACCTCAACATGGTGAGGGCTATCAATATGTCAGAGAAGCCAAAAACAATGCCACCAGGAAGCCAGAATGTCTCATTACTCTGGTCTCCTAGCAGGGACACCCAAGATGGAATGGTCAACGTGGAGATACCAGACTAAGATGCATCCACCCTTTTCAGGAGTAACAGTTACATCAGCAGAAGAGAATGGAACTTTCTAATGGTGATGGAGACACTCCTGTGGCCAGATACTGGGCAGCTGTAGTTGAAGGTGACATTGGTGGATGATCTTTCACAGACAATGGCAGTGACACTCAAGATAACTCTGTTTAGTAGTATGTGGAAGAAGGTAAAGTTCAATTACTTCTGAATCTTCTGACCCTGAAAACCCTGTGATGAAACAGTCCAATATGAAACAAGAGAAAGTGCCAGAAGAAGATATCCCCAGTTTGGAAGGTGATCAATGAGCCACTGAGAAAGAGCAAAAGACAAGTGTGACTAGCACTGCTGCTAATGACACAAACTCCAAAGGCTAACATGAACAGAGTTGAATAGAAAGTCAAATGCTGCACAAAGTGTACAATTGGAATATGGAACATGAGAGTATGAATCAAGGCAAACTGGAAACAGTAAAGCAAGAAACAAAATGGTTGCACATTGCAGCACTTGATGGGAACAAACTAAAATTGACGGGAATGGGTCATTTTCAGTCAGACAAATACAAAGCATTTTGTTGTGGAAATGCCAAACTCAGAAGAAATGGAATGGCTTCAATACCCAACTAAGATACAGCATAAGCTCTAAAAAAGCTCTAAAAGGCTATAATGCAAAGCCTGACTAAATAATACAGTCAGAATTTGTGGAAAAACCGATCAACATAAGCATCATTCAAGTTTACACTCCAACAACAGAGGGAAAACTACAAAGTATCCAAGAGGAAAGTGGACAATGCAGTAAAACAAGACAAGTACTTATTTTGCTCGTACATTGCCTTTCTAACAAAAATAGCACCCAAGGTAGTTCACAGTCACGAAGAAAACAGACGAAGTTATACACCAACGGCCCTCCTTAATTTGCCCTCAGGTATTTTTCTATTATTATTTCTCTCCTGCCCAACAGCTGAAGCTTTCTGGGTGGTTAGAAGGACAACAGAGAGAAAGCAACCCTAGCCCCACTCAGCAGAAGATTCCCCCGCCAGAGAGCAGCTGCCAAGAAGTCCTTTGTCTACATGGCCCCCAAACAAGCCTCTGCAGGTGGCAGTGTTGAAAGAAGGGCCTTTCCAGAAGTTCTTAAGACTAAGGCAGGTCCATATAGGAGAAGACATTCTTTTGGGTAGCCTGATCTCAAGTTGTATAATGCTTTATAGGTCAAAGCCAATATTTTGAATTTTTCCCGGAAGCAGAGTATTAGCAAGTGAAGCTATTAGAACGAGGAAGTCATGTGTTCCTTGTAACCAGCCCTGGCCAGCAGTCTGTAGCCTTCTGGAATCTGGACTAGCTCTTACTGTCCTTGCTTTGAGGTTGTTTTCCACAGTTCCTTTTTCTCTGAAAGTGCATCCCAGATTAGGTTTTTCAGCAGTTCCCTTCCTCTTGCAGGCAGCAGCCATGCTGTTTTTCAAATGCTCCACACATTGGAATGGTACAAACAGCAAGGAACTCTTAAAGTAGTCAGGATCTGGGTTTGGAGAAGCCTGTAGTCAGGTTTCAGTCTTGGTATCTGATTTTAAACATTTTAATAGAGAATGGCTCATTTGTTTGAAATGTTTTTCTGTAATGTTTTGTGTTCTGTTTCTCAATATTTTAACTGTGAACATTTTGTATTTTTAACTCTTCTGCTGTAAGCTGCTTTGAGGTGTGTTCTTAGATATATTCAAGTGATCTGTACATTAATTAAGGGAACAACCCAGAGGCATCCATCCTTGATACAGGTAAAACTCCAAGCTTAGAGACATCCATTGCAGAGTGCATCAGCATCAATTTCCACTGCCCTGCACCTCACCCCCTGTATTGCCATCTGACAGTTAACACATCTAGATGAAGTATCACAGAGGGAAGGAAGCTGATTGGATATGGTATAAACTGCTTGCCCCAGCCTCCTCCCCTCCCTGCTCCCCTCTTTAACCCTGGCAGTGTCCACACTTGGAGACACAGCCAGTGCAGTTCTTTCTCTGTCAGCTGAGAGGGGAGTAGCTCAGAGTTTCCACACCTAGATTCCCAGCTCCATGGTTGGAGGATTTTGGAGCTGGAAGCCTGAGTAGTCCTATTTCCATCCCCAGCTCCCATGCCAGGAGGTCACAAGACTGTGCCCTAAATAAATTCAACAGAGTTGTACGCAGAAATTTTCTTTTTGCTAGGCAAAACCCTAAACCCCCAGTTTTTAAAGTGTGCACTTCCCTTGTTATTTTTTAATCATTAAGAGTTAAGAAAAATATTCATGCTTATGAATTTGTCTCGCCAAGCCACTTGTCTTATGGTAAAGAGAAATTTATATGATTACCTTTTCAGAGTTTCTAAGGAAGAACACCCCACGCAAATTTGTGATCTGGTAAGAATATTGTTACCTTTTCATCTTGTGTCATTTTCCGTATTAGGAAGTGAATAAAATTAATGGAGATACTAATACACAAGATTTGGTTGTTTCCACAGCACAGTTTTGCAATTAAGAAAGCAGAAGTGGCCTTCAGTCCTTTCTTTGCCTCTGAAGTCTCCACCCTTGATTGTAGCATTACTTATAGGAGGGTTCTTGGACCTGGAGGTCATTCAAATGAGTTGGATTAGAACTCCCATCATCTACAGTAAATGTGGCCACGAGCTGTGAGAAATGTAGTTCCAAAACATCTGGAGCATCACCAGTGTGGGGAAAGCTGCCATATAGCTAAGGCAAACTGTATTTTTTGTCCATGGTGGGCAGGAATTAGACCTCCAGATGTCTTGGACATCAGTCTTTGGCATTCCCTGACCTTGCTAGCAGAGACTTCTGGGAGTTGAAGTTCAAAACATCTGAACATCTACCTTCTGCCCACTCCCATTCTTTGCTTCTGTAGAGCTGCTTTGGAGTGTGGTATTTTTCACAGAATTCTGGATCAAGCTTATCTCAAGTTACATTCATCCTCAGGATTCATGGCTGCAAAGCTTACTGAAAAGCTAGAGAAGGCATTTGTTAGACTTTGTGGCCACTGCAGAATATGGCAACCCCAACTACTCTTTTGTTGCCTTCCTCCAGTGCACCTATGTGCATTGGCCTTGAACATGCCCTTGCTACTTGCCAAAGATTCCTGGATTGCTTGATAATTAGAAGCAGGATGAAAAATATTATTTGAATAAGTAAAAATTAATGCTTCTTAGCAGATGCAACATTTTTCCAAGATTATAATTTGGATTTGCTTGCCATGAATCTTGGAAAGTCCTTGACAATGCCCTTTTTACAATTGGGCCAATTTTTGCACAGTCCTGCCTAGAATAGTATCTCATATGCGTTGTCAGTGGATAAGGAAGAGATATGGAATCAGTAACTTCTCTCCCCAACCTTATACCCTCCAGATGTGTTGGAATACATCTGCTATTATCTCCAGCCAGAACAGCCATCTGTTGACACATTAGTTGTATATCAAGTTGGGGAAGATGCTGAAGTAGAATGGGATGTTGAATTTCTTTCAGCCTGAGAGATGAAATCCATATTTATTTATTTATTTAAAACATTTCTATGCCACCCCCATCGCAACAAAGCCTTGGGGCGGCTCACAAAGGATACATAAATAATTAAAAATTGTTTAAAAACCGCTGGTGCATTCTCGGCTAAAAATTTAAAATCCTATTAATTCAAATAATTTAACAATTCAAATAAGTTTTAAATAAAAAGGTCTTAGCCTGGCGCCGAAAAACAAATAACGACGGTGCCAGGCAGACCTCTCTGGGGAGCGCATTCCAGAGAAGTTCTCCTAGTGGTAGGTGGAACCCATGGCAAAAGAAATAACTGTATTTTTTAGATCAAAGTTATTACTACCAGTAAATAAGCCAACTGGGAAACTACCAGATGAATAGCGGTCAGGGAAAGTGAGCATGTTCATCTAAGAAGCCCCCTGTGGGAGAGTTTAGGGCTACAGAAGGGGGTGGACTTTCCCCCACTCCTGGGATTTTGCACTCCTGATTTTAAAGTAGAATTTTAAATAGAAATTTGATTAATTGGTGGTCTGTACCAGGTGTGTACAGCCTGAGGGCCCTCCAAGGGTTTCTTGACTGCTGCTGATTTTCCCACTGCTTGTTTTCTGTAAATAACTCTTTCCCTGCCTCAGCTACCAATGAGGAAGGAGCAGTCTGTGCCCGGGCCTTTTGTGTGTGTGTTTGTGTGAGGCCTGTACTAATGTCAGAGACTGCTCCGGGGCCCGAAGAGGTTCTGAACCCCTGGTCTACCTGCATGAGATCCTGGATTGAAGCACTGGTATTGCCACTTAACTGGGTTGGGAAACTCCCTCAGCCTGTGTACCTTGGAGAGTTTCTGCTGTCACTGTACGCAATACTGACCTTCCTGATTATTTATTTAAATATGTTTGTCCCATGCTTTCCAAAAGGCTCAGGATGGCTTACAATCATAAATAATACTATAATAATACAATAATATAGTGATTAAAACAATAAAGAATAAACATAAACCAAACACTTCATAAAGCTAAAGAAAAGAAGGAAAAGAAAAGAGAGTGTGACTGTGGGCAGATCTTAAAACATCTAAAATCCTTATTTACTTATTAAAATGTTGGCTAAATAAAAAGGTCTTTACCTGGTGCCAGAAGAAGTACAAGGTCAGCATCAGGCATACCTCTCTGAGGAGCGCATTCCATAGTCTGGGCGCCACCACAGAGAAGGTCCTCCTTTGGGTAGATACCCTCCGTACCTCCTTCAAAGAGGGTTCCTGGAGCAAGGCCTCACCTGCTGATCTTAAGCGGCGTGAGGGCATGTAGGGAAGGAGACGTTCCTTCAGGTATCTTGGTCCCAAGCCATTTAGGGCTTTATAGGTTAATATCAGCACCTTGAATTGGGCCCGAACTTCAACTGGGAGCCAGCATAGCTGATAGAGGACCAGCGTTATATGAGAACAATGGCCAGCCCCCGTCAGCAGTCTGGCGGCTCTGTGTTGTACCAATTGAAGTATCCGGACTGTTTTCAAGGGCAGCCCCACATAGAGCATGTTACAGTAATCCAACCAGGAAGTTACCAGAGCATGTGTCACCATCACTAGGCAGTGCTCGTCCAGGTAAGGACGCAGCTAATGGATAAGCCAAAGCTGAAGGAAAGTGCTCCTCGCCCCTGCTGTCACCTGGGCTGGCAGGGACAGTTCTGGGTTGAGGAGCACTCCTAGGCTGTGGACCCTGTCCTTTAGAGGGAGTGAACCCTTTCCAGGACAGGACCAAAATCACTTACCTGAAAACCTGAACCACCCAGCAACAGGAACTCCATCTTATCTGAAATGAGTCTGTTTTTTGGCACTGATTTATAGCAATGGTCTGAAGGCAATGTCATGTGTGTGTATCATTGTCTTTGTGTTCTGGGATTTCTTTTCTTTCCATTGTCAGACTGAAAATTCTGAGCAGTCAAGCTCAGAAAGTGATGCAGAGAATGATTTGGAACCTGTCTCAGTGTATCACAAGCTGCTGGCTACATTGAAAACTACTCCATATTCAGACACAGAGGAGGACGAAGACGAGGAGGAGGAAGATGGATTCGAAGAAGGAAGTGACAAGGATGGCACAGAAGCAGACAGTGAGGAGCTGGAAGATGAAGGGGAAATGGGCGACGAAGGAAATGCCAGCCATGTGCCTGACCCAGAATCAGGTAGTGCGGTGCATTTGAAGTTTGTCAGTTTTGTGTGTTTCTTGGTGTGTTGCACAATGAGGTGCTCTTTTTTTCCCATCTGGCTAACAGTGCCCCATCAATGTTGTGCAGACCCTTCGAGAGACAGTCTCCATTCCTCCCTTCCTCTCTGGTGTAGGGAATGACCAACCTTGTTGGTTGTTCTGAAGAGGTGGTGAACACCAGCAAGTGAGGCAATGGATTGATTTAGATATTTATTTTCTGAGTTTTTATCCCACTTTTCAGAGTATGAGTTATTGGCTCCCAAAGAGGTTCACACTGGTAAAAAGGGGAGGGGACTGTTGGAACAGGAGTAGAAGGAAAGGAGGTGAGCTTTATTTATTTATTTAACTAATTTCATCTCTATATTGTCCAAGAGCCGAGGCTTTCTAAGTGGCTAACAGAAATTTTAAATACACATAGAAGGCTCATTCCTCAATCAGGGTGCTACAACCAATGAGGCCCTCCTTCTGCTAGCCACCTGCCTCAGTTCCTTTGGAGAAGGACCCCCAAAGATGACCCCAGGGTCTTGGTAACTTGGCCCCAATCCATTTACAGCTTTGAATGTTAGTAAGCTAATACTTCTTTGCTGGTGGTCCTGCTTGAATCACACTTGGTGGCTATCATTCACTGGGCCATTTGATAAAGCCAGAGCATTCTTTTTCCCAAGTAGCTGTTAGTTGAAGCCAAGTGTTATTTTTGGCTTTTTAAAAGCTCAGTTCAAGATAGTAGATATTATCAAGGTATGATCGGGATGTGCAATTTAGCCTTACCCAACTGGCACCCAGCTGTTAGTACAAGCTTGTGCAGGATGGAGATACTGACTTCCAGTCCAGAAAAAAATAATCTGCTTCTGACTCTTGAATCACTGGGATTTAAGGCCTTTGTGGGCAGTAGTCCTTGTATAAATACATGCTTTTTCTTCCTGAACTTTCCTAGATAAGGAAAATAGCCAAGAGGAACCTGAGGGTCCAGGGATTTCAGAGCACCTACAAACTGGAGCTGCAGAAGAATTCACAGATATACAACATGAATCTGAGTTTAGCCTGGAAGCCAATTTCATGGAGGAAGAGCATAGTGATCCAAGCGCAGATCAGAAAGAAAGCATTTCTTCTGCAGACATTACTAAAGGTAAACTGCATAGTGTTTGTGATGCTAAAAAGGAAAAGTGGGACAATTCCATGTCAGCTCAATTCTGTGGCATTTTAAACCAGGTCTATGCAATTTGTGAGCCTCAAAGCCAATATTACTGTTAGATACTGTGTTTGGAATCTTTTGTGAGTTTCTGATAATTAATTGTTTCTGATTACTATAGTTCTTTTTCACTGTTCAGCCTCTTTTAAATGTTTTTGGGTTGAGGCTTAATTTCATTTTTCTCGGTCACATAGCTATGCTTTTTATCTCTTTATCTAGATCCATTTAAATGTCACATGGATGAAGAGCTAGAAGAAAAAGAAGTAGATAAAATTCTTGCACGCTCAAAATCTACTGGTCAAGTCAAGGTAAATAGACATGCTATCTGTTAGAAGTGTTGTTCCTTGGATTTGTTTCATATATTCTTTAAGGGTTTAACTCATCAATTTATATGTTCAGCTTCTTTCAAAGAAGAAAAATAGAAAACTTCACAAGGTCAGGAACTGAACAATCCAATGCATGTCTACCTAGAAATAAGTCCCATTGAGTCCAGTGGCTCTTACTCCCACTTAAGTTTGCACAGCGGGGAAGGCAGCCTTTTTGGCCCATGAGTACATGTGCTAATTTGGGAAGCTGTCCAGGGCAACCATAAAATTGCTGCTGTGAGTGGGCATGGCTAGACACAAAGGACAAGTAATCAGTCCAAAGCTACTCATGGGAGGTAAAGATGGCAGCAGCTAAAGGCTTTCCCTTCACTTTGAAATAATTGCAGCTCATGGTAAAAATTACTGAACAATTTGGTAAATAAAAATTGGAAGGTTTGTGGCATCTTAGTGGAAACAGGGAAAGTGTTGGGGGACCACATTGCCTACCTCTCATGTAGAGGACTCCAGCCAGTGAGGGTCAGCTGAAGTTCTCCTGTGTTTGACATTTGTGTGCTTTTCTTTTAGTGGCCAGTCCTGGGTCAGGTGGCATTTTCTTTCGCATTGGAGAAGTTTGGCATGATTAAGCCAGATAAAGAAGTGGACCTGAAAGAGCTTCATCTTCATAAGCCATTAGGATCCACATGGCCAAAAGTGAACAGCCAGTTCCTTTCTATGAAGACTAAGTCAAAAGCTCAGCCATTTACCCCTTTGCAAAGAGAGCTCTTCTGCATTATGAATTCTTACATGGACTTGTTCTATCCAGAGAGGACGGCCTTAAGGAACGGGGAGGAGATTCGTCATGTCTATTGCCTGCACGCCCTGAACCATGTTCTAAAGGCAAATGCTCAGGTGCTTGGCAATAATGCCAAACGAAGGGACCAAAAGCCAGGAATGGATGATGATGGATTCAGGGATCAAGGACTCACTAGGCCAAAGGTGAAAGGATTTCTTTAATGTATGGTTATCACATGGAGAGCATGGCCTGGCATACGTTGGGATGCTTTTACAACAGGGGTGGGAAGCTTTGGGTGCAGGAGCCAAATCAGGCCTTCTGGGGTTCCTCAAGAGGCCATGGTCCTTTCCAACTGACCACCAATCATTAGGTGATTTTCCATCCCATCCCCCATTTTGAAATGCGGAAATGTGTCTCCCAAGGCCTAGTTACTAGTGTTAAGAGCTTTTCCATTAAAATGCATTGGTAGCTTGTGTATTCAGGTCCCACTCCTTGTGCCTTTGGTCGCAAATGTGGCCTGTGGGAGCTCCCACAGTTCAGCCCTCAGGCTGTATGAGGTTCTGCGTCCATGTCTTGAACAAAGCTGCCATTGCAACTTCCTTCAGCTTACCCTATACATGTCTGACCTCTGGTGGGAGTGCAAGGCCACCTATGACTTGGCTGCAAGGTAGAGAACATTGAGTTCTTGCATAAGTACAGACGGGTTAAGCAAAAATGTATAATTGGCCAGGGCGACTTATTTTATATTGTTATTTTTTGTATTTTAACTTAATGTTTGTATTTTACAAACATTTTAACTTAATGTTATGTTAAGTTAATGTTTTAACTTAATGTTTGTGTTTTAACTTAATGTTGTGAGCCGCCCCGAGGCTTCGGCGAATGGGGCGGCATAGAAATGTTTTAATAAATAAATAAATAATATCCTAACCAGTAAAAACACAAATAGCGTGACGATATGGTTAGCACAAAATGCAGATTTTACCATGGGACAACTGCAAGGTTTCTCAAATATTACAAAAGTTTACAAAAATGTAATTTAGAACTGTACCACCAAAAGTGCCAAAATACAGTACTACAAACTTTAAAATACATTTATAAAATATTTCTGGTCCTAATTAAATAGTGCAACTAAAAGTATAAATAAATCAATATAAGAATCAGTTTCAGGATATGTAACAGTTATAGGACTTATCAAATTTATTTGCTGTTATGTTGGCAAATTATGGAGAAATTTATTGAATTTTAACATTCTTTGCCAAATGCATTTTGACAAGATCTTGCATATCAGTGTCAGATATGCGAGTCTCCAAATGTCTACCACAGCATTGATCCAATATCATAAAATGTTTCATTAGGACATTTATTTACTGGGGTGTGAGAAAAAAAGGATATCAATTTGACACTTGACTATCCTTTCCTACTCATTTTGCTGAAAATAAAGCTTACCATCCGCTTAGATCAAATGCTTAAAATGCTGAACTGCTCAGAGCAATATGTCCTTGATTTTTTTTCTTTAATAAAAAATCTGAGGTATAAGTAGAAATGTCTATATAAAAAATGGGCAGCACAATTCTGTGATCCCTGGACACTGCTGGATTCTCAGGTGAGGGAAACCCTTCCCACCTTGGCATGGGCATCTGTGCTCGGAGCATCCTCTGCTTCCTCACAGCAGTGCAGAAAGAACCACACCAGTCATTTCTCCGTGCCTATAAGAGCGACCTCACACAAGGGGTGTAGGGTGTGTTCTGGGGGAAGGGGAGGAACCAAGAAACAGAGGATCTCCCAATCCATAGTTAGATGGCTGGAATTGGCTGTCAAGACTGCTTTGCAGAGCCTCCAGGAGGACCGTGGAAGCTGCTTTCACCTCTGTGCTTTTCCCACCCCACAGAGGCTGCCTGTAATCTTCCAAGTTTAGTGTAATCCTCCAAGTCACAGACAGCCTTGTTGGATCGTGCCCTAACCCAGTTTGTTTTCTAAGCTTCCCTTGTGCAGTCAAGATTTTCAGTAAACTAATTGGGAGACTCATCCGCTTGGGTAACCCTACATATTTGCACTTTTGGGGTACAATTTTAAATTAAGTTTTAATAATGTTTCATAATAACTAAGAAAGATTAATGTTTTAGTATTGCTATTTCAGTGTAAGATTTGCATTCTGTCCTGATCGCTTATCATCACTGGGATTGTGCAGTAAGACTTGAAGTGAGCCTGCCGAACAAAGTTGTCTGCCGCCAATTGCCATTGTCTTATATGTAAAACTCTGGCCAATTTTACCATTTGAACATGGGCACAAAGGTACTTAAATTTGAATAGCAAAATCCACATGCCCAGTACTCTTTCTTTTTCTAAGATCTATTCCTTGAATGACTCTAAACTTTGGCTTGTGTATCCTTTTTGGGTCAGCCACCCATGTCTTGCTTTAGATATTTATGGTTACACTCAAATTTGAGCTAGTGAAGCGGACTTTGACAATAAATGAGAAAGTATGCCCTTGAACTGATCACCCATGTGCCCTGTGGGGATTGCTCTTTATTACGTATTTTAAAGGTTCTTATTTGTGGGATCACTGCTCCCTTCTACAGTATTAATATCTGAGGTTTTAATTCAGGTTCCTGCTGCAATCTGACACTCAGTGGATAGCAATGGTGGAGAGAGCCTTTTTAGTGGTAGCTCCTCATCTTTCCAGGGAGTCCTACTTAGCTAGGATTATTGACCCTCATTAATATAATTGAGACACCAGGCTAAAAGTCAGAGTTTGAAGGATTTAAACACATTTAGCTTGGGGCATTTTGATTTTTACTGGGCTGTTTGAATGGATTATTTTTCTTTTATTTGTATGGCTTACTCCCCCATCCCCATTTTACTTTTATCATATATAACATATTTGTTAGCCGCCCTGAGAGCATGCATTTATGTTGAAGTTGCAGAATATAATTATGCTAGTACAAATGCAATCTTCTATGCATCTGATACATATGGGATTACACTGGAAGTAAATAAGCAATGTAAGGGATATTTAATCAGTTAAAGCTAGAGCAAGGCCATGGCATTGCGTTTTACCTGCAATAATGTCTTCTTGTTTAAAAAGTACAGGCTAAATGTCTACAGTAACCTTTGTATGTTAATGCCTTCTGAAAAATCTCCAAGTTGCTTTGTTTTTTGGTTTTGGAAAAACCTTTCTAATGCAAAACAGAATTGCTTGCTTGCCTTTACATTTTCTGCATAGGTCCTGATGGTGGTGCCCTTCCGGGAATCTGCTTTACGTGTGGTCCAGATTTTTATCAGCCTCCTTGAAGCGATGAGTCAAAAGAAGATCAATGTGAGTAACAAGAAACGGTTCAAGGGAGAGTTTGGCTCAGATCCAGAAGAAAGACCTCCAAATCTGAAAAGGCCTGAAGATTATGATGCTGTGTTTGCTGGGAACATTGATGATCACTTCAGGATAGGTACTGAAATCTTATGAGCAGTTATCTTAGCTGTAAAAGCTGTGACAAAACTTAAAATATTAAGCATGCTTTACCAATTATTTAAATTCAACCAAACGTCCAAACAAGGTCATGTTAACCAGTCATGTTAAGCCTGACAGCATGGATCAATAAAGCAAAATGAGAATTAACAGTGTTCACACATTCCTTCCTCCTTTGGGCCTCCCTTTCACTCAAGCAAGTAAGGTATAGGATCTTGTGATGTCCAAACCTGATAATATGGTTTGTTGCATCGAAGCAAGCAAAGATTCATAGGTAACTTCTAAATGAAGGTTTATTGTTAACCAATGAATTCTGGCATATTTCACACATTAAACCATAATCCTAGGTTTCTACCTCAGAAGAATTTATCCTTGCTTCTGATTTAATTAAACAGCCACATGAAATGTGGAACAAATGCAGAACAAATTATCCATGTGCACTAGTAGGGTTTGCATGCATATCTTGGCTCAATTAGTCCATAATTTGTAGTTTAAAGTAATGTGCCTATGCAGCACTTCTGTGTTGTTGGTTTTAAAAAAATAATTGATAAGCCAGCTCTTGTCTTTGAATGTTCATGGTTGTTGGACTTTTGTTTAAGGTCTTGTTTTAACATGTTGACTTCTTAGGGTTGTTTCATTCATGATAAAATTCCTACATGTCAGCAGTAGAGTAGAATTACTGGAAAATGTTCCAGTGTCTTAAATCATGACTTAGCATGCTTAACGTTTAACAACAACAACAAAATGTTTTTAGAATTATAGGATATTAATTTTATATGCTTGATACAAATCTCCATTTTTTTCCAAATAACCAGATGTATTGGTACCAAAATATTAGATTAGGGAAAAATCAATAAAGTTCAGTTGCTGTATTCAAGAACTATATTCAAAGCTGTACCTAGAGATTATTTTATTGTGATACTTATATCTAGTTTAAGACATGACAACAGAATGAGGCAGATTATATGAAACAGTGGCAGATCATGGGCTAATTAACCCACCAGATGTGTGAGCTGCTTTTACTTCCTGTGAACTGCATCATTAGTGTATACCTGCTTATGCTGTTTATATCTTGAGAAGCAGTTTAAGACACTGAAGACTTTAGCATATCCAAACAGCCAGGCACTATAAGTACTGTATAGGTACCCATGCTTTCTAGGAACTGGCAACTGAGAAACTTTTATAACCTTTAAACTGTTCCCAGTTTGACTACTATTATATCTGTTCAGTTCCTAAAACAGTTTTTTTGTGGGAGGTTTTACAAATGCAAGTACATCTTTGGAAAATTCCATTACATTGGAAAAGATTTCTGTGGAAACTTTCATGACCGAAACAATTCAGCAGCAAAAATTTCCACCCACAGTATTAGAATTGGGGTGGAAATTCCCTAGCTCCTTCAAGTCAGGTTAGGAAAGAACCCTGGCTGAAACCCTGGAAAGCTGCACCCCATCAGTGTTGGCAGTACTGGGTTGAATTGGTCTGATTCAGTAAAGAAGGGCACTGCCTGTGTTCCTGAGTGACTCTCATATAGGAATTAGTATGCAGCGTACGCATCCTTCAGATGTGTTTCAGTGCAAGGATACATGCTGTGCAGCCATAACCAGTGTAGTAGATAATACATGTCTAGCTGTCTAAGATAGCAACGTTTTGTTGCCTAAATACATGTAAGAGGTAGTTCTGTAGTAGGGCTTGTACTTTGCATGCTGACAGTCCCAGGTTAAGTCCCTGGGATCTCCAGATAAGGCTGGAAAACCTGCTTGAAACTCTGGAGAGCTGCTACCAGTCGGTGTTGACAACACAGGGCTAGATGGACCCTTGGCGTGAGTTGGTGTAAGGCAGCTTCCTGTGTTCCTAACCTATGCATCTTCTTCTACAGAAGTGCTTCCTATGTGGGAATTCCTTCATGTGCAAATAGGCCTTGGGTGTAGAAGCTTTCTAAATACACAGCTTTTTATATTAATGCTTCTCTATTTTCTTTGGGTTTGGAAAATTCAAATAGAATTTCCCCTGTAGAAATGAATAATAGTGAATAGGACATTTTTCTTCCTAATTAACCTAGTATGGTTTCAAATGGTTGCCCTTTCCCTCAAATTTTGTAAATTGGAGTGGGTAACCTTTTTTGCGTGGAGGACCACTTTTGTGTATGATTCCCCCTGTTCCCTTTCTCTGCAGGGATCACTAAGTTGTCCCTTATTCTCTTGGTTGTATTTATTGATTATATTTATATCCTGCCTTTTTTTCCTTCCAAAGGAACTCAAGGAATAATTCTCCTCCTCCTCTCAACCATGCCCTCACAAACAACCCTGTGAGTTAGGTTGGGCTGAGAGTCTCTGACTGGCCCAAAGTCACCCAGTGAGCTCCATGGCTGAGCGGGGACTAGAACCCGCATCTCCTGACTCCCACACTCTTAATCACTATACCACACTGGCTCTCACTTTAGAAAGTGTGTGATCATGCATCTTTTCCATTTACCTTTTCAAAATGTATAGCGTTCATGTTTTTACTGTTTCAGCAACCAATCTTTTGACCCAGCTGATTGGTCTGGGCAAAATGAGAATATGACCTTTACCTGTAACTGCAGATGTGTGTATGCTCTGCCTCCTTTTGGCTTCATGCCCACTCAGGAAGAGAAAGGCTGATTGGTAAAAAGTGCAGAAGGCAGCTGGGGGATCATATGCCCCCCGACGCACCAGCTATGCACATGGCTGAAGCTGAAATGTTGCATAAATGTTGTGTGTGCGTGGCATTGAGTAATCTGGACTTCTTTAACCCCAAATGTGGTCACTCCTGTTCCATTATCAAAGCTATGAGAAAACTAAGATTAAGTTTGATTGCAAAATCGCTATGAATCAGTAGTAATTAGCTATTAATCAGGACGGGTCTGAAGACACTGGAAATCCAGTTACCCAGATATTCTGCTGCTTTGGAAAATGAGATCTGTCTAATTGTAAAAGCCAGTGATTGCCAGCTGAGCTCTTGGGTGTGTTGTGATGTGCAGGGAGTCTAAAGGTTGTCTGAACAGAAATCATTAGGATTGTTTCAGGAAATGTAACTCCTGGCTGATTTGTCACTGGGTTATGCAGAGAATTTCCTGATGCATTGATATTTAGAGCTGTGGCTGTGAGAAAGCAACCTGCAAGCACAATGCTGCTTGAAGGCGTTGTTGTCTCATGAAAGATACTGGATGGTACAGCAGAGAGGGAAATGGTACCTCATTATTGTCATGGACAGTCTTCACATTTAATTAAATGAAGTTGCCGAATGGTTCCCTGTAGTATTTTCTTCCCTGTACAAATAGGTCTCATCCATTTACAGTCTGTGCTGAAAGAAAGCAAGGAGTCTCCTTTCCCACAATTATGAACACAGTTTCAAGTAAGGACATGTATCAGGCCAACAGATATCTCAGTGGCCATATTCACAGAGAACAGTAAGCCGGGATTGCTGCTGAATTCTGATTTACCATGAATGAGCTTCACAGCCCATTCCCTCGCACTAGTGCAAGTGAATTAGCAAACTAGAAATGCCTTGCTTTGTACCAGATTTTTGCTTGTTGCTATCAAACAAGCCAGAAACAAGCAGAGTTTATCATTGGCTTATGAATCCTCGCTTGTCCTGGAGAACAAGACGGGACCCCAGGTTTAGATGACCTGTGTTTATTAAACTGTAGGCATTTGCAGGAAAGAGACAAATGTGCTGCATGACCCAGCAAGCAACTTGCTCTTCCTGCCTGTATTTGTTATTCACCTTTAACCCTCTAATAATACTAGGAGAGCCTCTGACTATCATAAACAATGAGCAGTATTATAGGAACTTAAAAGATTAAGGGCACAGCACTGTGACTCCCATTATTTTGTCTGTGTGTGTGGTGGTGGTGGGGGAAAAATAGGATAGGTCAGAGTCCCATCTCCAAGCTTAGAAATGCTTTCTGAGGTCACAGCTGGGATGCACCCTTGCACCTGGCACAGTTGACTGCATCAGCTGGACTCCAAACATTGAAGACTTGTCTTCAGAGCCGGGATGTGGGTTGGGGAGGGGAAGTATGAGGTTCAGCCAACATCCAAGGAGTCCTGGCACTGCCTCAGCCATTCCATCCTTGCAAGGAGGGACTAAACAATTAAATCAGCCATCTAAATTTTTTGGAAGGTGGGAGGAATGTGGAGACCATCCAAACCTCCACGTTCCACCTGCCCTCCATCAAATGCCCATAATCCTCCTTGTTTGGAAATTTATAGGTGTCCACAATGGATGGCACCCTAAGAGGTGTTATTACGGTGAAAGCTTTGGTTCATCAGCACCTGTGAGTGACATCCTTAGTTGTCAGGTGTATGTATGCTGCACCACAGCTACAGAGGTATGTGCCATATCAATTCAGTTAGAGCATGAATTATTTAGAGTACTTCATGCTTCTTGTTAGAGGAAAGTGAAGGAGCAAAGACTGCATGGATACAAGTGAGCCCAAGCAGCAGCCATTTGTAAGCTAAGAACAGGATGCATGCTACCCACCAAGGACTAATTGTTGCTAGGACCCCACTGTTGGTAAGGCAGATAGCACCATGATGCTGTGACTAATCATTTTCCTGGGGCATCCTAAAATGTGGTGTGCTGCATGGCTAGGTTCTACCAGTGGTTGCGGTGAGCAGACTGCTAGATGTCATGTGGTACATGGTTTTGTTTCTTGCCTTCTCCTGTGTACTAAAGAGTGAACATTCATGGAGAAGGGGCTAGCGGGAGGCAAAGCTGGAGCTAGACTTCTCTACAGCATGGTGCTAGTTGAGTAACTTGGCTGCTTTGTTGCACAGCAGGTCAACCTGAAATGCAGCTGATCCCATTTGACCAAGTAGATCAAAGAAACAGTACAGACACTGTCCAGTTGGTGTTGTCACTGCTGTCCATGTAGGAGTGAGCAGAACTACTGTGAATCAGCACCTCTGTGTGGGCCTGCCAGGGTCATGAGCACTGCGTAGCCTTTTCCCAGATGCCTCTCTCATCACAGGCCTAGCTCAGGGAGCAGGAGCAAGAGAGGAACAGTTTCAGCTGCACTCTTCCAAGTGCAAAGACCAGAAATGTCCCTAGGGCACTGTGGAATGTAGGATGAGAGGGAACAGTCCACTGGTTTACTAATAGCTGGCTAATGTACTTGTCCTTGCTGGTATGTTTGAACAGGTGTTGCAGTTCTTCAGAAGAGTATGCGGCTGTATGCACCATTTTACTCCTCTGACATTATCATTGCATCTCCTCTTGGCCTGAGGACAGTTATTGGAGCTGAAGGCGAGAAAAAGAGAGATTATGATTTCCTCTCATCGATAGAGATCCTTATCATTGATGAAACTGACATCTACCTAATGCAGAACTGGGAGCATGTTTTGGTAATGCTTTTTAAAAACTCTTTGGTGTATCATACTATGTTGTGGTTGCCAAGATGTGTCATGACATCAGTAGGCACTAGGTTTAGCTTCCAGAAATATCAATGTTTTAACTCACTTAAATGGGTGCACATGTGTCTTCCAGTGTCCTTGCCAATTCCTTCATGTTTGTGGTGGAAGAGTGGGCAGAAAGAAACAAATCAAATTGTTAGTCTTGCCCATGGCAAGGGTTTTCCTGTGGTAGAAATGGATGGCCAGTTCTTTCTAAAGGCGCTCCAGATGTGTAGTGCAGTTGCGAAAACATCGGAAACACAGAAAAACATATAAGTTACTCTGGGTCTTTCATCTCTCCTTGTCATACTTCCTTTAGACAAATCTTTGGTGCAACCACACTTAGAATACTGTGTAAAGTTCTGGTTGCCACACCCAAGAAAGGACATTGAGCTGGAGAAAGTGCAGAGCAGGGCAACTAAAATGATCGAAGCGTTGGAGCAACACCTCCATGAGGCATATTTGCAACAGAAGGGATTGTCTAGTTTAGAAAAAAGGCAAGTAAAGGGAAACATGATGGGTTTTTTTAATGTTCGATGTTAAAAATTATGCATGGTGTGGAGAAAGTGGATATAAAGAAAGTTTTCTCTCTGTGTCATAATACCCAATGGGGTCATCCCATGAAGTTGGTTGGTGATAGATTTAGAGCAGATAGAAGGAAGCACCTCTTCACAAATCACATAGTTAAAGTATGGAAGGCGCTGCCAGAGGAGGTAGCGATTGTCACAAATTTGGGCAACTTTAAAAGGGGATTGAACACATTCATGGAGGAGAAAGCTATCCCTGGCTACAAGGCTGTGAGTTGCCTCTGGAGTTAGAGACAGCATGCCTGCGTACAGCAGGTCCTGGGGAGTTTGGGCAGAAGGGACCTGTCTCAGGAATCCTGTGGACAGCTGGTTTGCCACTATGTAAATGGAATGCTGGACTATTGGTCCATTGATCTGAGCCAGCATGGCTTTTCTCATGCTTTCTATAGACTGGTTGAGGAACAATGGAACTGGCTATAAACTGTTATTTCCTATAATTTCTTTAAAAAGAAGCCCGACACTGCTGCTATAATAAATTGGGTTTCTGTGAACTCCGTGGCACTGGAGGTAATGCTGCAATGCTAGAGGATTCCTGAGTATTGATGGTGTCCTTTGAGAAGCAACTAAGGTGCTTCCTGGCAACAAGAATCAGAAGTTTCAACCAGTGAAGGAGTGGGTGTCTAGTTTAATATTCCAGACCTTTTAGGAACATATGAAGCTGCATTATACTGAATCATACCCTTGGACCACGTAGTCCAGTATTGCTGACATTAACTGGCAGCAGCTGTCCAGGGTTTCATGAAGTTCCTCCTGCCATACCTGGAGATGGTGGGGATTGAACCTGGTGCATGCAAAACATGCACCGTACCACTGAGCCACAGCCACCCCCATTGATGGGTCCTCCCCCTCGCTTTTTTAAATGCAATAAGTAAACTTTGCTGCAGGAGGAGGTTCATTTCTCTGTCTTCCTCTTTCTGCAAAGTAACCAGAATGAGACACATTTTCATGTTTATGTTCTTAATATTCTTGCAGCATGTGTTTAACCACATTAATCTGTTACCTTTGGAATCGCACGGGGTGGATTTCTCGCGGGTGCGAATGTTCAGCCTGAATAACTGGTCTAAGTATTATCGGCAGACATTGCTTTTTGGTGCCCTCCAGGATCCTCAGATCAACTCTATCTTCAACAAGCATTGCTTCAATTACAGGGGACAGGTTAGTTCATACACCTGTCAGTAGCTCTTTTATAGCCCTGAAGAGGGCTTATTGGACCAAAGTCATGATCTTGCAGCAGTCAGAAAGCTTGTTGAGTATATAAATTTTCCTCTCTCTTCTGCACTTTAATGTTCCCAGCCAAGCTGATTTTGGGATATTGCTTTCTCTGCTGCCAAGCTGATGCTGAAGCTTGTTTATTAAAATTTTATTGCCTTCCTCCCCCTCAGTCAAGGGAAAATAAAAATCTTGTCACACCACCTCTTAATGCAGCAGTGAGCCACAGGCTGCCTGTAGGTCACAAGCAGTTCCTGGAGCCCCATCCCCCAAATTGTAAAATTGATATAATGACATCCAAAACAACCATTCTGAGACCTTTTAATCCTTTTAGTGCTCTGTTGCTACTATGAGCACCAAAAGAGTCAAAATCAGCTTCAAAAAAACTAATGTAGACTCTTCAACACACTGTGACTGTTCCAGACTCCATTTTTAATTTTGTTCCCCCTCTGTCCCTTTCCTAGGCCGTCTGCCTGGCCATTATATTTGAAAACAAAATTCTAGTCAGGGCGGACTCCTCTGTTTCAATTTTGTAAGCTGATGCTTTCTGTTTGGAGGGCCGATCTGAAACCCTTGTCTGATATTCCTTTTGTCCACTGTTGCAATTGCTTCTTGCAGGTAGCTGTACGGAATGCACCCTTGTCAGGCTCCATCAGTCATGTTGTGGTACAGCTCCCTCATGTTTTTCGCAAGGTGGAAGCTGAAAACTCTATTTCTGTAATAGATGCAAGGTAATGTGGCCTTTTGTGTTATGCTCCACGGATGAGAGCTTCAGATTTTCTGCTCAGCAGAGTGTAGAGGATTGAAAAGTGGGGGTAATTTTAAATTAAAAAGGCAAACCAACAAAGCTTCCTGTGTGGAATATCTTAAGTCTGACAACTCACACTCTCTGGCCTCTTTTTGGCTTCTTGCTGCTGTGCGCTCTCCACAAAATATTGCATTTGCCATGAAGATACTGTTCTTGCAGGGATACACATGCAGGCCCAACCCATCCTATTCCCTTTCCCCTTTATTATACTCCCTTTTAATCTATTTCACACCCTCCCAATGTTTTGTTATATTTTTCCTAAGAAAAGAAGTTGTGCCTCACTCTGCTTCCTGATAGCTGTAATAGCAAGTCTCTGTGTGGCCAGGATTCCTGCCATAGGAGTCCTGTTCCTAGGGCATCCCCAGAAGAGAAAGATGCTGAGAAATAATGCTTTGCAATGGGCTTTACTCCTTTTTTAAGGGGTTTTTTTTTTTTTTTTTTTTTTTTTGGTGGGAGGGCTGCATTTTTGCATCCCTGGGTTAAAATACAATATAAGAAATGACTGGGACTGAAATTGGTCAGTAGGTCTACTTTAAGTAGGATGTATGTTAGATTTTATCCTTTGGTTAGAGCATGGGTCCTCAAACTATGACCCGCGGGACGGATCCGGCCTGCCATGCCCATTTATCCGGCCTGTGCCGCCGCCTCTGCCCGTGCGCGTGCATGCCGCCGCCTCGCCGTGTGGGTGGGAGGTGGTGGCTTGCTCACTCAGAGATGATTTTGGACTCGTTGGGAGATCTCTGAGAGAGCGATCCGCCGCCGCCCGCCTCCCCCACGGGGGCCAATGCTGCCTCGCTCGCTCCTGACGCTGCCTCGTGCGTGCCCGACAATGACTCACCGCCCCCTTCCTCACCAGCCCACGCCGCCTTTCAACTGGCCCCCTATTGAAAAGGTTTGAGGACCCCTGGGTTAGAGAGGACTGATTCTCTGTTAGATGTCTCCCGTGTTGTTGTTACCTACTATTCTTCAGCTTCCTTTGATTGCTGAAATATATGAGGATTTTCACAAGCTATGACTGTATATATTGGACTGCTGTGTAAGAGCACACTTATGAAAGACAACTAACAACAACAACCACAATTGTGTACTTTTCTGTAAAAATAAATTAAAAGATCTCAGTAGCTCATTTTTGAAGTACTGATATTTGTTTTTTTCAATGCTTCGTGAAAAGGGGTACCAATCAGAGCTGAGGGCAAGAAAAATATGGGTTCTGCTGCAAAGGACACTGGGACACCAGCTGGAAGAAAAAGCTACAGTGAATCCAGTCTGTTAGGCTCACTGTGGCTTATTCCATGAACTGGCTTAGTGTGTCACTCAAATGCAGCCAGTCTGTCTCTCTGTGAGTTGTACATTTGTATTAAATTAGGTGCTGGGGGATTGCCTTTGGAGATCAGTATCTAATAGCAGTAAATCTCTCTTATTTTTGTAATCAGGTTTCACTTCTTCATCGACAAAGTGTTGCCCGAGTACCGTGATGCTGTCATGTCTCACACAGTCATTTATGTCCCATCCTACTTTGATTATGTGCGCCTTCGGAACTACTTCAAGAAGGAAGAGCTGAACTTTACACACATGTGTGAATACACTAGCAAATCTGGCATTTCCAGGGCAAGGCAATTCTTTCTAAAGGGAGAGAAACAATTTCTGATTTTTACAGAACGTTTCCACTTTTATAAAAGGTGAGCTGGTTTGACTTGAATATCAACCTTTATAATGAGAGGAATGCACAAAGAATTATGAAAAGCTTCCTACTGTGCTGGAAGATTTCCAAAATAGTGTTATTATTTGTAAGCCATTGTCTGCATACATGGCTTGACAGGTTCCAAATATAAACACCCATATATGGATGGTTCAAATTCTGAATGTATTAAAATCTGACATTTCTTAGGGATGGATGGCTGTGCCCTATCCTTTCCTCATTGGAAGGTGAAATATATTCTGAAAATCAATGCCAGGTTATGACAGCATGATGCAGTGTGTCTTTTCCTTTTGAGACTTGAACCAATTAGATGGATGGATGGATGGCAGCTACTGGTAAAGAGTTATTAATGATAATTTCATTTAGGCATCCAGATGCAATAGGCAGTTTATGAATAATGGAAGTGATTGATTAACCAAATAATGATTGATTAACCAAATTTTAAACTGCCCAATAATCAAAGCTCCCTGTACAGTGTAAAAATAATTCAAATATCAAACTAAAAGCAGAACAGAATAAAGCCATTGCAGCATATAAAACCAAACTAAGAACAACAGCAGAATGAAATGCTGGGAACAGTAACCGTTATTTTAAAATGCTTGGAAGGATAAAAATGTCTTCAACTGGTGCTGAAAAGACTTGGGCACCAGCTGATCCTGTCTAGAAAAAGCATTCCACAAATGGGGTACCATTCCTGAATCATAGAATAGAAGAGTTGGAAGGGCCAAGAAGGCCATCGGGTCCAACCCCCTGCTGTTGCAGGATACCAGTTTATATTACCCCACTCAAATGACTGCCCAGTTTGGAATGTCTCTAGTGTAGGAGAGCCCATGACCCATCTAGGAACTGGTTCCACTGTCTCATTGCTCTGACAGTGAGGAAACCTTCCTGATATCTAGTCTGAATCTGGGTTGATGCACCTTGAGTGATTATTCCATGTTCTTTGCTCTGGTATGAGTGAGAAGAGATCTTGACCTTCCTCTTTGTGACAGCCTTTGAGGTACTTACAGAGGGATATCATGTCCCCCTTCAGTCTTCTCAAGGCTGAACATGCCCAGTTCTCAGTCTCTGCTAATAGGGAAGTGTTTCCAAACCCTGGATCATTTTTCCTCTTCTTCTGAACCCTTTCTAATTTCTCTGCATCTTTCCTAAATCTTGGTGCCCAGAACTGGACACAGTATTCTAGATGAAGTCTGACTGGTGAAGAGTATAGGAGAACTACTGCTTCTCATGATTTGGAAGTAATACTTGGAAGTCATGCATCCCAAAATAGTATCTGCCCTTTTTGTGACTGCGTTGCATAGTTGGCTCATATTTAGCCTGTTGTCCACAATAACTCCAAGTTCTTTTTTTCAATTCTGTTGAGCCAGGTATTCCTCACTTGTATTGATGCATTTGGTTTCTTTTTCCAAGGCATAGGACTTGGCATTTGTCCCTACTGAATCTCATTATGTTGTTTTCAGCCTAGCATTCCAGTTTATCAAGATTGCCCTGGATCTCCCCTCTTTCTTCCAGTGTGTTTGCTATTCTACCCAATTTTGTATCATCTGCTAATCTGATTATCACTCCTTGTGCTTCCTCATCTGAATCATTAATAAAGATGCTGAGGAGCACCAAGCCTAGGACTGAGGGCTTCCTCTGTTGCCTTCTACACCTTTTTCTTGTTAGAATTGTTCATAGTTGTGCTTGGAGAATATTTTTTTCAAGATTTCCAACCCTTTGGACTCTTTTTCCCTTAAAGAGTGAATTGCCATGGCACCTCACTTATCATTGCTCTGAATTTGATAAAGTTGGCTTTCTTGAAGGGTACATGTTTGGCTGAAGTTAATTTTTGTCTTCTTTATAATTGAGAATTCAAGTATTGCATGGTCACTTTCCCCCAGGATTCTCATGGCCACTATTTTGTCAACTAAGTCATCTTTAAAAAAAAGCACTCTCTCATAGCCACCTGCTTTGCCTCATAAATAAGTGATTTATCTGTGTTTGTACTCTCTTGGGTCAAGTTTTGTATTTATTGACATCTGATTAATAATAGCAGATTCCAAAGGTAGTACATATGAGGTTAGAGCTTGGAATTTTTCATTTCAGAGGACTTAGCCTAGCAAGACTATGCAAAATGTTGTTCCAGATGAGAAACCCTTCATCATCATGTGGGCACTTGTCATTCAACAGTCTGAATGGAAATGTCTGAGCACGGCCAGCAGATTTTAGTTGTGGAAGCCCTGAGGAAGCTGTGCATATTTTATTGTAGGCAGGCTAGTTGTTGAGAGACAGAGAGAAACATTATTTATTGGTAAGAGAAGAATAGGCCTGCCAGTAATTAACTTGCCAGCACCCAAGCACCAGAAGGGGTAAAGCAGGGGTAGATAAGGAAAGACTTGTTGGAAAAGCAGCTTTAGAGCAGATGATAAGCAGGGAAGCTAGCCAGAGCTGTTCAGGCCTTCATAGACCCATGTGTTTGGTGGCTAGCAATTGGCAGGAACTATTTCTACTGCTCCATGTTGGAACATTAACCCTGCTTTTGTCAAACTGGATTACAGGTAGCTTCAAATTTCACTAGATGGGACTCCACTGTTCATGGTTAGTTGAAGTCATGTCTCCCATGTTCAAAGGATGTCCTTGGGAACCGGTATAGCAAGGACTGAAACTTCTCAATTTAATCTATTGCTTTCTGAGTTATGAAAAAGTTTTGGTTGCACATAACCATTCTGAAGCAATCCATTTTTTTTTCAGGTACTCTATTAGAGGCATCAGGAACCTGATTTTTTATGAGCTGCCTACCTATCCACATTTCTATAGTGAGATCTGCAATATGTTGAAGTTGGCTGGCAGCAGGGAAGAGGCCACCTTGACCTGCACAGTGCTTTACTCAAAATATGATGCTCAGAAGCTAGCTGCCGTGGTGGGTATTGAACGGGCAGCCCAAATGCTCCAGGCTTCCAGAAATGTGCACCTTTTTGTCACTGGAGAAATGGAGTAAAATGAACTTCAAACTGAAATATGGATGGACTCCTGGGACTGTTTAATGGCAGACCACCTGGAAAGATGTTGAAATGGAAGAGAATGGAAGTTACTTATGCAGCACCTCTGTTTTTGAAGGACACTGTTTGCATTTTAATGAAGAAATAAAGGATGCAAAAAGTGTGCATTTCTTCTTTGTGTGACAGTGATAATACCAAAGTCTGTGTCACGTAGCAAGGGTGAGTTCCCAAAATGGAGGGTAACTGTAGTGTGAATAGCTCTGCATTGAGGCCTCCCATGGAATGATGCAAAAGGTATGTTGCCATCTTAACTATCATAATTTGGTTCCCAGCAACTGCACTGAGTATGTTTTACTTAGTATATCATTGGAGAAGGCCTGAAGACAGCAAAACTACTTTACCTGCCCTGTACTTTTCCCCCTACCTTCTCTGTGCAAGAAATTTACTGTTATTAAACTTCTGTACATCTCAATAGCCAATGTTCTTTGGGTGGTTTGCAACACTTAGAGCCACAAGATATACAACATGACAATACACAGTAGAAAACTGAAAATCTTCCCCATCCTGGTGTAGTCCAAAACATCTGGAGAAGAACTTCCATCATTGCTCATGTTGGCTGGGGCTTTTGGGAACTGTAGTCTGGAGCACACCAGGCTGAGGAGGGCTGATCTAAGGTGCAGATGAATATCTGTAAAGTGTTGCTGGTTCTCTCCACTGAGGACAAAGAGTGCATTGTTTTTGGAAGTGTCTCATTTCTAATGTACTGTCATCAATCAGGTAAAGAATAGTAAAAACCTACACTGATTCTCCAAAGGATGAAGTCATGGAAGCCATAAACTAGTAATCTGGGTGTTTGGAACATTTTATTCAATTCTGATAAATTGTCCAACGCACTGCACTGAGGAACAGCACTGAGTTGCTGTTCTGAGAAGTACCATTTGGTCCCACAGTTGACGGCTCCTGGGAGGCAGAGATGACATCACTGGGCAGGCTGGCTGCTCTTTAGGACCTGGGTCACCAAGTTCTCAAAAACTGCCCTCCTGATAGTCACTGATCAGGTCCTTACAGTGGCCAGACATGGTGTCTGGATATCAGCAGCAAAAGGAGTACATATAAAACAAAAAGAACAAAGTGTCCTGTGGCAAAGTAAAGGCTAACAGACATAATGCTATAAGCTTTGATGAACTAGTTTCATGAAGGGCATGAAATTATCCTGAGCTGCAGGTATATGAAGGTGTGTGCATAGAAGAGTAAACAGCAAAGTCAGCAAAGTCAGAGGGGAATAAAATGCTGTACACTTTACAGACAGAGATGGTTATTACCAGAACTTATTATCCACAAACCAATTGCCAAAAGCGCAAACTTCCTGTTTTGGGTTTGCTAATTACCACGTGTAGTGCAATTAAAAACATTGTGAATGTAGTACTGCCTGTTTGTATGTTGCCATCATATTTCCAAATACATCAAACTTGTGTATTTGGAAATATGATGACATATTTCCATCATACATCAAAAGCTCATATATGTAGTGACTATATTTTAATATCCTTTAAATGTCAAGGAGTGACTTGTGGTTCATTACTCTGTTTTTAGCTTGTTTTCTATTTTAGTGCTAAGCTAATTAACTGCCTATTACCAGTTCCTTAACTGCAGGAGCTACATACCAAGTAAGACAATTCCACTTAAATATCTGATATAACCAGTGCAAGTTTGAGAATTTTGCCTTTTCTGTGCTGAGACACTAAGGTATTTAACTTCTGTTTATTTTCTCTACTTCCCAGGCTGAGTCATGGGCAAAGACATGAAAGTAAACAGCTAAATTAGGATTACATTTTGTGTCCCCCCCCCGCCCCGCACAGATGTACTTATCAGAGATAAGTATCTGTCCTTTGAGGAGCCTAAAGTAGGATAAAGGTTTAGGGAGATAATAGTGAGCAGTAAGACCAGTCCATCCATAGCCATTTTAGGGAGAGCTGGTATTTTTAAAGGTAAACTATGTTGTTACTTCTTCCTTTTCAAAGGCAAATGAGAGAAACAATGGTGATTGTTAGTCATATCATGCAAGCTGCATTTCAGATATCTGAGTCCAGCGTAATATTGAATAGTCTCCAATGTTCTCACAGCAGTAGAACTAATGACATTGCTATCACTAGCATAAAAAGATGGTTGACGCTAGTGCAGTGTCATTAGCACTTGCTCATCAAAGAGGAAAAGCAGCAATTTGCTACCAGAATCCAGCAGCCTGTCCGTTGCCAAATTTTGCAGGTAGCTCATCGCTATCAGTAATGCAGCTCGGGCCGCTCCTTGGGGGCCTGGGTTGGGAGCCTCACACTACAGGAGTCCTGCAGACCAGCCAGAGAGGGGCAGCTGATGACTCCATCAGGGTAGCATAAGCAAACACCATTGTATTCCTAGAGTCAGGCTGGTGCTAGGACTTAAGTGAGCAGAAAACACCAAACTGCACATGCTAAGAGTATAATTGGACAAACATTTCAAGGTGTAGAGAAGGTAGAAGTTACTTTAAATGCACAGAATGGCAGAGGGCAGAGAAAGTGCATTATAGTGGAGAGCTTTCCCATGTACCTCTGTCCCCCGTTCCCTGTAATTACCCTCCCTGTAATTTTAGACTCCCAGGGTCTAAAATTACTTTGCTGTGCTACTGCTCATGTTGGTTTATTCCAGCGTGGTGACAGCACCAGATGCTGACCGGTGTCTTTCATGTGCATGAAAGGGGCTGGCCAGAGTGCATTTGGCTGACTTTAATGGTACGTCCTTTGTGTGAGATTGCGGTGGTCCTGAGGCTGGAAGCTCCATCACACAAAAGGAAATCCCCTAAATGTACGAGAAAGTAACCTAGCATATAATACGTGTCCCAGTCTCAGATACGGTTTTATAAGGTAATCAAAAGTTGCAGATGAGTCAAAACCCCAAGAGCCCACTTTGCTCTCGGACTAGCCCTATTCCTGTGTATAAAAACGATGAAAGACTCCTCTTCCATGCACTGCTTTCTTGACTGAGCTGAGAAGAGACTGCCATTGACTTTGCTGGTTTGACCTTTCTTTATTTCCTGAGAGCCTATTAAGCTAAGTAATACCATATTAACTATCTCCTCTCAGAGCGCTGATGCATTGTGGCAAGGCTCCAGGGCTGTGTGTGCTAATTTCTAGGGTACTGCAAGCCAAAGAAAAAGTGGCCTAAAACATTTAAAAGGAAGCCACCGGGAATATTCCTCATCCCCGAGATGAACGGAGCCCACTCAAGGCAAAGAACTAATTGCCTTTGAAACCCTGGAAGATGGCCATTGGTGGCAAGAAGCTAAAGTGACTCAAAAGTGCTCAGATCTAATTAGCATCATGTAAGCTGACTGTCCAATGACAAAAGAGGCAGGGAGAGGCTGTCTGTCAAGGTGACGGATACCACATGGAGCTTCCAGTGCCATTCAGATCTGAGTGAACTGGATGCTTCCCAGTTGAGACTTTTAAGCCTCCTGTGCGGAGGTTTGTGCACCAAACATCTCTTACAGAGCGCACCTGGTTCAATCACAGTAGATTGTCCATTTAGGGAGGCCTGGCAGGTTCTGTCACTCCATGCTCTTCTGAAGAGCAGAAAAATGTTTTCTTTGCATAAACTGGCACTGTGTTAATGGAATGGAAGCAACTCAGGGAGCTCATAGCTGGGAAATACCGATGGAACCTCTTTATCGCTTGCTACACTTTATAGGCTGCTGTGTATTATTTTTACTTTTGCTCACTAAAACACCTTGGCATTCACCTTTGTCTTGCAAGGTGATCTGTAAAGACAGGAAAACATTTGTTCCCACCTCCAATGCAGTTTTTCAGAATATCTGTCCCTTTCTTCAAACTGTGAGGGATTTGATGCAATTTGTGCTGTTTGACTGATTGAAGAGCTTGTAATGAACCATAAAGCCCATCTGCTCACCCAGCTGATACTGAGTGTGCTGGGAGCAACAACAGAATGCCATAACTAAGGGAAATTTGGAAGGAATCCTCTTTCTAATGTACAGTGCAAAGTCTTGGAAAGGAAGGCAAGGTATATTTATGTGCATGTGGTTCAGACAATCATCAGCCTGATCCAGAGAACTTGAACACTCTTGATCATGAATCCATTCACCACTACTTCACTGCACACACAAACACACTCCAACTAAAAAGGCACTGGGGGACCTGGTCAGAGTCATAGAACATGATGCTTAAATCCAGGCCTGGGCAATGGTGTAATGGAGTCTTAGTTCTTAGTAAGACACTGCTGGAACTTTTTGGTATTTACTGTTATCAGTAGGAGAGCTGAAGTCCTCTGCCACCATGCCCTGTCTCCCTCAGACTTTCCTGAGCTCTGAGTTCCCTGATGTCATGTAAAGTATTTTGTGTAGTTCAAGATCCATTAGCTTGCCAGAAGACCTGCTGCTCCTGCTGGAAATGAAAACTGCTCCTAGAACCGATTTGTTGATATAGGTCAATTTAGTGGCCTGCATTTTTGGACTCTCCTTGGGATGTGGCTACTGGGACTGCCATCAAGGGTGCCAACACATAAAACTATCCTACCATGTCACGAGATCTGGGATTGTCTGTGAGTGCGTTTGTTTTTCCAACCCAGGGTTCTTGCTGGTCAGTGGAATGGAAGACTTCCACAGGAGCTTGTGATATGCAAGGCCAAAAATGCTGCTGTGTTGAAAGACAAGGGCTGAAAGCAGGATTTCTGGATTACAGCATGGCAGGCCATCCAGAGGGGTCAAAGCCACCTGCCTGTTGAGCGGAGCTTTGAGAACCAAGCTCCTGCAGTCCAATGTAGTTCACACAATTAAATCCCAGTCTTGCCTGGTCCCATGACATTCAGCTCCTAGGCAGAGCAGGGCAGGAAACATCTGCACTGGCTCTAGCATTGTTCTCAATTTGCCTACTAAATCAATATATTTAGTCATTTTTTAAATAATTATTTTACTGATAGACTGTTGAATTTGAAAATTGGGCAGTTTTCCTGATTGTCAGGGTAGACCCTCACTCATTTTTTGAAGTATCCATGTTTCTGTGTTTCAGAGGGTGGTGATTGCAGTATCTGTGGGATGGTGTATCCTCTCTGGGTGTTAGTCTGAAAAGGAGCTATTCATCATGCTAAACTTAAGAGTGTATTTCAGTACCATGGATA